TTTTGTACACACACGATATTGAGAGGAATACAAAAAAGAAACAGAACTTAGGTAGGAAACCAAAATTGCTGCTGCTTTTTTATCGACGCGAGCAACGGTAGCTTCCTTGTTGTTGATATACCTTGTTGTGTATGCATACCGCAATTGCCGCGATACGAGTCAAGCACGTTTGGTACAATAAAGAGAAAATTAATTGGGGCAGTAAAATCGTGTTTTTTGAAAGATATATACGCGCACCTCGTTCTAAGGACGACGACGATTCGAAAGACAAACAAAAGAGGAGGAGGACAAATTATATACGAGCTCGTTTAACTGACGGTCTCAGGATAGTACCGCTGCTTTCGTATACGAGAGCTTCTGGACCTGCCCCCATACGGAGCTTTAACGCACAGTCACCGACGTATACGACGACAGATTCAGTAATAAAAAATCCCCCGAGTGTATATTTACAAACTACCGTCGTGCGAAAAATACGTAAACAGAATGAAACGGAGGCAACAACTCGTTTGATATTTAAATTGATCGCGCGGGTAGAAAGTTCGATGTAGCATAAGTATGTCAAAAATTGTGTAATAATCCGCAGGGTACTATAATACGCGCAGAGTCCATTCACATCTCTCGCGCGAAAAAAAGTGAAACACCTTTCTTTTCGCCGATTCTTATAAATGCGGGATTAAAGTCTTTATTTGGCAGTGACAGCAAAAAAGATGTTTTTTGCGTACGGTGAAAATGAAAATAACATAGAGTTTTCGTGGTTAAAAAAAAACATACTGTGCGTATAGAAAAAAAATCCCGAAAAAATTGGTCGCGCGATTTATAAAAATAGGCCATTTTTTCATCTTCTTCTTCTTCATCTTCATGTCTTGACTCGCGATCGCGAAAGGCGATAATTGATTTTCGCGGTATGAAAATGAGCGAGTTATTTATGAACCGATCGCGACCCGCTCTCAGCGCCCGAACGGACGAAGATAAATGGATCTACTTAAAAAGTGGATAATATAGAGTTGAATTTTTTCGAGTCCGTTCATTCATTATCTTCTTCGTTTTTTTTTCTTAATATTTGAAGAAAGAAGGCGCCAATCATCGTCAACTTGATACTTTATGTTTAATTTATGTACAATAATTTTATTGTATGCTTGCAGTTATTTTAATATAAGAATCGTAGCTCAGTCCACTATCTGTCCTCGAAGATCGATAACCGAGATATTATAATCGGCTATTCATTTTTATGCGAGAACTTTGGGCCGAACTTTCTATGCAAACATTTTTGCTCGGATCAATGTCACTTCATACAGAGCAGCAAAAACGCGAAATCTCTCATTAATATCACTTTTCATCAAATCGACTTTTTTATCTCTCTCTCTCTCTCTCTCTCTCGCTACCAAAGTGACAAAGGATTATATTGAAAAACTTCGATCGAGAAACTATCAGTGCATGAAGTAGCTGTATATCTCGACGAACTGCACTCGTTGAATTTGTAAAATTTCTAGCTTCGAGGCTACAGCAGCGAAACACGTAGGTATTTTTAACTCCATTGATTTCGAAAATTCGTGTTCTATTTTTTTTATGCTTCTTCGTAGCTAGTCCTTGAACGATGCGAATTCTTATAGCTGCGCAAAGTAAAGTTCTCTATACATTAAAATCACAATCATTTCACGGTTAAGGATGAAACTACAAAAAAAAATTTTATTCAAGGTGAAAGAAAGATTTCTCAATAACAGCAATCCTATGAATTCCAACTTGAGTAGTTTCAAAATTTTTGAATTATTTCTGTACCTTCTCCGAGACCTTCACGAGACGTAAGTGTCTTGTGCTCTGTGCTACATTCGATACCTTGCAACAAACAAATGAGATCGAACGAACGACTATCTTCCTCCTGCATCGAGCGCACCGGTAATTATTGCTCGCTAAATGAATTCCTGATCAGAGCCGGATGACAAAAGTACGACGAATCTGCATTAAATAAGGAATAATTAAAACAACACCTCCATTCAAAAGACTAGTTAAGCCAGTTGTTTTTACGGTGGCATAGATTGTAAACTCAGTGTTGATACGAAATGTGAATTTGTCGAAGTCGAAATAAAAAAGGGGGAAAAAGAATGAAAAAAAAGATGAAGAAGCTCTCTTTCTTCGTTCCGTGCATCGCGTGTGTATTTAATATACGCAAAAAATTAATATTTACGTAGTATTTGCACAGCTGACAGCAATGAAAACTTCATGATCCATAACCTTCACGCTTTGCGCTGCGCGGGCCTCGATGTGTAATATATGTACGCGTTTTTTATACGCTTTTAGGCCTCTCGATATTAATAATTATTCGCAATTAAAATTTTGCATCGAGTGTCTCATTAATTTCCTAACATAAACAATAAAAGCGCGCTTAACGATCGACTTTGGATACGTGACAATATAAGCTTTAAAAATAAAAACGAAAAAGTGCATTAAATATATATTTATAACGTTATATGAATAAAGACTGCTTCACCGCTGCATGATCGCTAACCACAATGTCATATGCAACTACGACGAAAGGTGCGCGTCTAAGCCCAGGAGAGAGAAAGAGAGAGAGAAACGGAAAAAAAAGAAAAAACTCGAAAATCGCGTAAAAGTACTGCTGCACTCGCCTACAATTTTATTATATGGTAATGTTTCGCAATGACGTCTACATAAATGTATTCACGATTACGCGATATTATACGGTAGCATAATACGAATATGACCACATAATAGTTACAATAATTTGTAATAATAATGAACTTAAAATAGGAACTTATAATACTGTACTATGCTTTTTCATGCCGGTGTCGTCGTGTGTGCATTCACGTTTCGCGAATTACAATCTCGCGCACAGCACACACACACACACACACACACACACACACACACACACACACACACACACGGAGTTCGACGTCACAATCTTACGCCCAAGCGTTTTTCTTTTTCGAGCGTGCGAGCGAGCGATCGTCGTGGCGAGTTATTTTTTTATCGCGAAAACGTGAGCTTTATCGTTTTTTACGCTCGCACTTGTGCATTAGTGCGAGGTTTTTGTACTCGCGTTAGAGCGAGCAATATCGAAGTGTTTTTCTTTCTATGATGCTTAAACATTCTTTGCAAATACACTTGAGTACTATAAAAAAGAGAGAGAAAGATAGATAAATTGTATATTATGTAGCCTTTGAAATTGTATAGTTCTACTGATAACGCGCGCGCGCGAATGAAAATTAATAAGCTCTATCCTAGAATTTGATACTGCGCGCATCAAATGAGAGATAGGCTTTTCACTGTATCAGTGCATTGCATTATATATATTTCTTCCTCGTGTATGCGCACGGGCCGTGAAAAGTGCTGATATACGAACGCGATAATGGTTGTGTAAGGTCTTTTGTCATATTCTGCGATGCAGCAGATCGAAAAGCAGCAGCAGAGCCCAGTAATGTTCTCGGTCTGTAAGTACTGCACGATATAAAAAAACGTAATGTCATAACGAAATGACGAGAATGTTGCATTAGGCAGATTGAAAAGAGGCGCGCAGCAGAGCAAGAGAGAGCCGGATATACACTTATGATATTATAAAGTAGCCCCCATGTGGGATCGCGATGCCTGTGTTTTTTTTTCTTCTATATATACGTCGTGTTGTGCACTTGTGGCATGTACCGAGTGTTTGTGTTTTATATTATATATTTTTTATCTAGAAAAGCGCTTCGACGAGCACATGAGCTTGTAGCTCACACACGATCGATAAGAACTTAATTTTTTTTCCTTTTTTTTTTAATAGTTCTGGAAACGATGTATTGTGTGCCTGCGACTTCGTTTGATAATATGCTCGAGAGCTCTCTTCAAGAGGATATGATATATATTGCGTTATTACGCACGTAATAATAACCTACATGAAATATGTATTTTTGGGCGCGGGTTCTGGAAGAGATCTCCTTAGTAGGGCTGTAAAAGATCGATATTTCGTATCGTACCTACCTACATCGGGACATGTAAGTGCGCAAAGCGAGACGCGCGTGGTACACTCCTCGACTGCTTTTGCTTGCCGCGATGACCTAAAGAACTTGGCCTAGCTAGCTCTCGTTGCCCCAATTTTTTTTTTCTTTTGCGTTAAAGGGGGAAAAGGTTAATACTTAGGTTCCGCGATTACAAATCATCGCCGCACTGCCGAGCGCGTTAACAAAAATCCATACATTATACCTGTTAACTCTTTGCGCGCGCGCCCGAACGACGATTTTTAAGCAATGTAAATATGCGTAAAGCAAATACGCATATCGTAAATATTTAAATCCCTTTAAACTTTTGCGAGGTTCCCACGCTTTCTACAACAATAAGCGTATACGCTTTTTTTTGCGAATAATAAATGTTTCACGCGCGCGCGCGTTGTTTTCAGGGTTTTTTTTATATATTGTATGCTCGCGTATGCGTGTATGTGTAGATGACGTATTGTACGTGAAAAATAAAGGGAGGGTGGAAATTTTTAATCGATTTAAGCACGGCGCTCGTACGTGGTAGAATGTGGTTCGTACAAGAACCGAGACACGTACCTGCACCGTATACGATTTAAAACCAAACAACAACAACAAAAGCTCGAAGAAAATTGCATAATTTTTTTTCTCCACAGGATGACATGATGATGCAAGAACTCCCCGTCCCGTCGCTGAACGAGAAGCTGAGCGTAGTCGAGATGCCGAAGGAGAAGAACGGCTTCGAGCGTCGTTCAGGAGGGGCTGAAGGTGACCCGATTAAAACGAAGCGGAGGCGACCCAGCAAACTGGCGCAAGCCCTCACAGCCAAGACCAAGCCCTCACAGCCAAGTAAAAAGAAGACGGCTGAGACGGCTGAAGCAATAAGAGTAGCAGCAGCCGCCGTCAATTTAGATCTGGACGGCATTGACGAAGAAGATCTAGAGCTGATCATACAGGCCTGCTCGCCGAGTTCTAGCGACTCGTACCTATCGTACAGCGACGAGACGACGATCAACGCCTTATCCAGGTGAGAGAACGCGATCACACGCACACCAAAGAAAAAAAACAAAACAAAAAATTTCCGTTGATAGTATACTTTCACGGCGACGAATTATGTTGATGCACCTGTGCTGGCGGCTCGCATTTGATTATATATGCGAGACGAGGTTTAGAAAATTTCCCCGCCGTCATTGTCATACTAAAAAGAGAGAAAAAAAAAGATTTGCACGATAAATCTGTTAAAAGAAAAATATGCGTACGAGTGCATGGTATTTACGCTAAATCGCGCGTCGACGCGATCGCGAGAGAGCGTAAATACGTCGCTATGTACTGCACGAAGCGCATCGCTGCCTCGATTTCATACAATAATATGCGTTTTATTGAAACGCGGGAGTATTTTTTTTTCTTCGTTCAAAAGCGCGTTACAGCAGCTGCAATAATGAATGCCCCTTAAGAAAAAAAATATCTTAAGAAAATAAAAAGGTGCCGATAAAAAATACCGCGTATACGTCTTATCAGCCATTGGAGTCCCTCTCCCTCTTTCTTTCAATTTCGTTGGATAGTTTTTTTTTTCATTTTATCGTTGGCGCAGCAGTAGCTCCTCTATGTATACGCCATGTTGATGCCTCGTAAAGCCTCAAAATTAAATTTTTCACACGAAATCGAGGTCAGATTGAGTTTCATGAATTTCTGTTTTGGAGCGACGAAGTATATATAAAATACACATATATACAAGCACACATGAATGAGAGGGAGACGCAGGTGTTGCGTGTGTTCTGTCACAAGCATCATATGTATTTTGTCAATAATCCATCTGCCCCGGCTCTTAACGGGCCTATGTAAACTGTTTTTCATTTAATGGACTATATTATACGGGGCTCTTCGATCCGAAAGTAGTCAAGGAAACGTGAAACCGAATCCGTGCGGCTTTTTGACATTTATTAATAATGCATTTGATAAGTAGCAGTCCGGGCCTCGCTCGTTTTGTACATATGCGCTTCACACATCACGAGTACCATTGTATTTATAGAGAGAAGTCTAGGAAAAAATCGGCAAGTGAAAGCATTGAACTTTGGCATACGGGTACACAAATATTACGCAAGACCTGTCAAAAATAGCTACAAGGAGACGAGCCTACACACACACATACAATATAATATGGCATGCAAACATCATCAGGCTCAATAAGCACGAGATGTGCGTGCAAAATCTGCCGCTCGCATTATTATAATTCGCACGTCCGATTATGCGTGTGCCGGGGAGGGATATTTAAATGCTGTGCCCATCGTGTGATCGGGCATCGGCGCAGGAATGTACACAATCATGCATCATTGATGACCTTGAGCTTGATGCCGTCGCCACCGCCTTCTCCTCCTCGCCACCACCACCATCAATCACCACCACCTACTCCTCCTCTTCATCATTCTCCTCCTCTTTCTACCTCCGAAACATCGCAGCGCCATCGGTAAAATCTCGGCTTGTGCTTGATAACAGACAAGGGTGGCTCAATTGTCACCGTGTATTATATCGAGCGATGCGCAAGCCCGCCACTCGACCTGACTAACTTCGACGCTACTCACTTCTACTTCTTTTTGCTTCTTTTCCAAAACACAAAATTCGCTCGAATACGCAAAATTTTTGCGCAGCCGCTCTGCCTACGTGCTTGCGTACTATACGTATTTGCCGTGTGTGTGTGTATGTGTCGAAACACCGAGCCTCGCTCAAACGAGGAGGCGCGCGCGCGATCATACACACACATACACACGACAAAACCGCCTCACGAATAATACGCGAATAGCGGGGGAACGAGAAGTTTTCGCCGAGTGCGAGAGTCGAGCTGCGCGCGGCGAGCCGTGTGCCGAACGCCAAAGCCGATCGGAGCCGAGAGCCCGAGCAGCGAAAGAGTAAAGCATAACTTTTATCGGGCCGCGCGCTGTTTCGCGCCGCGCCGAGCCGTGGCAGGCTTTCAGTAACTGCGCGAATGTGCGAGCAACACGACAGCTACGGCTATATAATACACGACTCATACATTCGGGCAAAAAACAAAAGTGACAGAGAGAGATAGATAGATAATAAATAATATATACCTCTCGATATACAGTTCATATGTGTATGTGTGTGTCAAAGCTTATCGCGCTGACTCTCGCGAAAAAACATATACGCGAGCTTGAGTGTTATTCAATATAAAAAGGCCCCGGCCGTAAGTCAGCGGCAGCGTGCGTAAGTTTCGCGAAATCGGAGCAGCAGTAGACTCTTTGATGAATTTTTCTCCGTGTGTGCGTGCGTATCATACGCGCTCGCGCGCGTCTAGATGAAAATTCGTGTGCTTTTATTACTGGAGCGACAACAGAGTGAGAGGCCATAATATACGTGTATCTGTGTGTGTATTCGTGCGTGTGCGTGTGTGTCGTATTTCCAGCCCACGTACGTCACGCGAGAGCGAGAAAGAGAGACACGATCATCACAGTGAAGTGTGTTTTTAAAATCGTGCAAAAAAAAAAAAAAAAACGACGACGAGAACGATAAAAGCAAAAAAACAACTATATAGTGAAAAAAAAGACAGAGCGCGGACGCGGAGCAGAAGAGTCTTAAAATTAACCTTGCGCTGTGGTGCAATAAGTAAACTTCAGGCGCAGAGCTTGTTAGCTATAGCTGTTGTCTCGTGCGTGTGCCCACCACAAACTTACATCGGAGATATTTACACACGTATATAGCGAAGTGAATAATAGAGCTCGCGCCCGCGCGCGCGCGCTTACAGCCGGCCGGTGTGCGGTGCTGCGCGACATATAGTGCGACGCGACGACGATTATAATTGATTATAGACCAGCAGCAGCAGAAGCGTTAGCAGTGTCTAAATAGACACCTCTACACATGCGATTGTACATAAAAAACAAGTGGAATTCCTCGTTCGACTGGATGGGATCTTGTCGCGGTAGCAGTCGTCGTCGTGGCGATAGCAACATAGAGAGTATTATTATAATAGCTGGATGATGATCGCGTGATATAATATAACGCGTATAGAGGATCCGCTGCACGTGGAGCAGTCCATGCAACAGATTGCCCCTTGTGCTGCGCTATATATATGTATATTTAAGGTCGTTTGTGTGTACATAGCACAGCAGTGCACCCTCTTTCGCGCGCGCTCGCTACCCGCCCACCCACTCGATCAGGTTGCAAGCAAGCGCAGCAGCAGCAGCAACAGCAACAGAAGCTAAACAGTAGCAGCAGCTGAAATCCGACGGCAAGTGTCGCGGTGGTCGTAGTCGTCCTCAGTCAGACTGACACCTGATCCAACCCCCGATCATTTGCCTATTTGACATAGATCATCTTCGGTTTTCGTGACTGTAATCGATCTCGGAGCTTTGGCGTGCGCGGTGACAAGTGTATTACGTTATTACCAATGCCATAAGATTTTTTCTCGTCTTGAGTAAAAAATAGAATAGAAAAAAAAAACATATACCAAAGACATACGATACTTTAAGGAGGCAGTAAGTATAGTGGCAGCGGCAGGAAGTGCTTGCAGCTACTGTGCAAGAGTGTGTATACTGTGGCGCGTCAAGGTGGAGCAAAGCTGCCATTAATCGTTATCTGCTTTCTTCGCATTTCGAATTCATGTGTGAGAGTGTTTGTGTACATACACACACCAGATACGTCGTCTTAACACACGAGTGCGTCGAAAGAAAATAATAAAAGTGAAAAAAAAGACGACTAATTTCGAATGTATCGACTGAAGTGACAAACAACATACAAAAGGCGGCTACGAGTGTGTGTTACGACGCTGCGTAATCCCCACCAGCCCCGATCTTGTCTCTGCACTTGTGGCATCCTATATGTGATATACACACAAAATTATAATACCAGTAGCATCGACCAACAGCAGCAGCAGCAGCAGCAGCAGCAGCAGCAGCAGCAGCATCATCTCTTTAGTAAGAGAGAGACGGATAGATCTTGCGCCTCGCTCGCGCCAAACAGCTTAAATACTTGCCCGCGCGACTGATGAACCTCATTTGGTTTTGTAAACACAAGCATGAGAGATCGCGATCGCGACTGCATCATCGTAATTCCACGGTTGCTTATTCTTCGTCTTCTTCTCTTCGTCTCGATCGAGGAAACATTCTGCTGAATCTTGATAAACTCCGAGATCCATGAACTTTTGCGCGTGAAAGTTATATAGAGACCTTCTTAGATTACGTCGACCAAAGTGCTTTTTTTTTCGTCGCTTTCAATTGTAACGCGTGTGTAATTGCAACGAGCCCGAGTGTGGGCAATTTTACGGAGTGAAATTTTTTTTCGTGCATAGTAATATAAGGAACTGAAAAAAGTACAAAAAAAACACAGTAAAATGTATCAACCAGCGGCCAGAGCCTATCATCATCAAGTCGAGGACGCCAACATGTTCGGTTATCAGCATATGCAAGCTCAGCAGCATCACTTGGTGCACAGAAATTACTGCGCGGCTTACGTTCAACAGCATCATCATCATCATCAGCAACAGCAGCAGCCGTCGTCATTAATGCAGCCGCATCTGATGGCTCCTTACCGGCAGGGTTTCAATGGCAATCATCATTACGAGCATCATTATCAGCATCATCAACAGTATCAGCAGCCAATTTTGCCGCTGATCAACAGCGACAATCCCATAGTGATGGCCTTCCAACATTTGGTCAGGCCCGTGGAAAATATTCTAGCTTCTAATGTTTATCAGCAAGAAAACCAACAACCACGACCACAAGTGCAAATAGAAGAAATACGACAAGCACCGATACCACCGATGGAAATTCCTGCTTACCAACAACAACAACAGGCTCAACCACAACAACAACAGCAGCAGCAGCAGCAGCAACAACAACAACAACAACAACAACAACAACAACAACAACAAATCGCGCCCCAAGCTGAAAATCAAGTGGTTCCCTACCAAGAGGATCAGCCGCAGCAAGAGAGGCAGGGCCCCGAACAGCCTTACGACGAATCAGCCGATAATTCCAATGCGATTTGCAGGTAAGAGAGATCGAGAGAATAAACAGCGCAGAGGTGGGAGACAACAGCAGAAAGAGTTATTAATTGCGTCTGCGGATAACTTCGATTTCCTCTTATCGAAAGGCATTGTTTGTTTGCTTTTTTATCTACTCGACGACGCGTTCTCGCTCTGACATCAAGCATCGGTATTGTAAACGCGAGTTTTAAATTTAAAAAATAACATTATTATATTTACTTGCGTATATATAAAAGTGCACCGAGACACTTTTCTTTATCGCGCAGCTCAACTCTTTGTACATTGTTTTTTCTTGTTTTATGTATAATAACATACACTCGTAATTTATACATAATGCACCTAGATAAAGAAAAATAAAGCGAAACCGAGCGGAAATTTTTCTGCGCCGAAATTCCTCGACAACTGCGCTGCTGATGCTACTGTGCGCGCGCGCGATAAATTTTGGATTAAGAAGACGAGTGCAAGCTCACGCGTCTCATGCGCGCGCGCGCGAGATAAGCTCTCTATATAAAACGTCCTGCTACGTTACACGAAATGAATCGCGACAAATATACATAATTTATAACCGTGCGGTTCTATTTTTACTCATTTTTCTTTTCGTCGTTGCTGTTACTTTTCGATCGCTGAGTATCGATTATCGAGCTTCGCGCGCGAGAAAGCCACACAGCTTACAGGTGTAACATCGAATTGGAAAAAAAAAATGAAAAAGTCGCGACGCGCTTCCGCGAGAGTTGTGTGTGTTCGCGCGCGCGCGCATTAATCCTAAAAATTATCCGTGACAAAAGTTTTTTTATTCTTCAAACAATCAATAGCGAGCTACGTTGGCCCCGCGAGCTTCATTTTATAATATCTCTCTCACGCACAATTTTGCAAGAAGTAAAAATTTTCCATGATTGTGTTAATATACAAATATATAATGTCGAGCGCGCAGCTCGCGACGACGACAGCGACGACGCGTAGAAGCACAAAATTGTTGTTATTCCCTTGCCGCGCGCGCTCGCCTCGAAAATCATAAAATTGCAATTACTATATATGCCAAAGTTTTCGAACAATATAATTGTATGTATTATATGAAAATGTTTATTCCGTGTAGTCAGTATCTATTTTTGATGAAAAAACTTTTTTCATCAATTTTTTAGCATAATGGCTTTTATTATTATGCACTTTAACAATCAATCTTTTTACCTACTCGTTCGTTGATTTATTTTTTCTGCTGGGTTTTATTTTTTAACTGTCACTGATTTGTTCGGAGAATTTTGACTATTCGGACGTTTTTTATTCCGCTGTTTTATTAAAAATTCGAAGACACGTTAAAAGACTCGAGAGAAGTGTCGAGAGGAACTTGATTACGATTTCGACGTTTTGGACGTGATCCGGTTTTGATTCTCGATGGGAGTTTGGAATTCGTAAATATATAGGTGTCAATAAGCTTATTTATAATAATTCCGACATAGCATATATATTCCAGTAGACTTTTTCGAATAGACTATAGAGCAAATTCAACTTCGAAACACAAATCATTATCAAACTTTGAAAAACGAAAGCAAAGGCTAAGCGCAATTATCACGGTTGACGTGTGCACGTGTCTTTTGAATAACTTATATGAGTAAATCTCACGAAATTTTAATATTCGTGTCAACTGCACAATATTTTTGTGTAAACCTAAAATATACCTTTCCTCGCATTGTTAACGTTAAGTTTTCAACTTTTTCTTTTCTTGAGAACAACTTCCAGTGGGGTCTAAACTTGAATTCATAAAAAAAAATGCAATTTATAGCGTTTTTAATGCGTTTTGAAATTCAACGCATCCTATTTTTAATTTTCAAATTCTGTGATTCCCGATAGGCCCATCGAGCTTTTTTATCCAAACCATCACCAAACAATCCTCAAAAAGTGAACTTTCGAAAAAAATGTCGCTGACTGGTATGCGTCGTTACCCGCGTCTTCTACACTCTTGAGAAAAATTCAACTTTTAGTTTTTTAATGATTTTTTTACAAAATCACAGTATCCCAATTGGCCCCACCATGAATCACCACGAAATCATGGGGAAAAGTAGTTTTTGAGTAGCAGAATCGAGTGGTATGTTTATTTTTGATGTGCGTGCTTTGTAAAAAAAGTTATATACGATATAAACATGGGTTTTGCCCGCGCCCATTGTTGATTTTGAGTGCATTTTAATCGAATTTTGCGATGCACATCAACAGTTTTATTTAAAATGGCGCAATCTATATTGCCCATTTTAGTTTTCGACATTTTGGAAAAGATAACGCTATGTGTTTTTTTTTAAATGTCAAAAAATTAAAATTTTAACCAAATTTAGGAGCAAATATTGTCCATTAATATGATATAAAATATGGCTCATCAGCTTCAGCTTTAACATGTACTTTTTCAAATCCTTGAAGGCCCTCACCCAAATTTTTTGGGCACTATTTTTTTGAGGTTTCTGAATCACTTGTAAGTCCCCAAAAAAAATTTCACGACTGTGCTTAAAAAAAAAAAAATTTTTTTTTAATGGCAAAATATTAAAATTTCATGAGATTTACTCATATATCAGTCGACTTGCATTCAATTAAATACCTCGGCATAAAGTTTAAAAAAATAAATAAATGAAAAAATTGATAAACCTGCAATTTTATGTCTTGCCTTCTTTTTATAATATTCGAATGGTTTGAAATATTTATTATGCAGTTATTTCGGAAGGAGGAAAATAAAAACTCTAAAAACTAAACGGAAAAAAGATTGCACTCCACCGATTTTAGATCCAAAAATCCTATAAATAAGATCAAATATTTTTCGAAATTTATTTTAAATTTACGGTATAGACTAAACAATTTTGCGCTTGACCATGAAGAAGCCTCCATTGTGCTTTTTCATTTCATTTGCTTGTTATACACACGCACCGTTATTTATTTTCTGTTATACATTCTCAAAACAAATTATTGTACACGAATTAAAAAGAAAATTAAAAAAGAAAGAATCCCATTTCATTTAAAGTTAAATCACTGCGCGTTTCAAGCCATGAACTGAAATACTATACAGCAAGACAGAAAGAATTTAATAATAATAAAGGTCAGGTGTTTTATGCACGTGGATTGAAAACATATAAACCAACAATTCTAGCCAACTGCGTATCAACTTTACGCAACAAAAAAATGCAAATATTGGCTTTTACGGAATTCTAGCTATCTAAAATTGAACTAGAGAGAAAAGCTCGCATTGATCCGAAACTGCATTAGTGGAATTATTGTTCGACATTTTGGACGTGGAGGGTGTAAATTAAAATGCTGTTATGATTAACGGGAGAATTATCATTGTAAAACGTCAGGTTATTGAGTGATCGACTTATTTGCTCCCTATCGCGTCGTGTTATAATGCGGCATCGATTAAATTTGAGAGCTTCGTCGGGTAAAAGCGTCTGGAGAAGGCGGAGAGTTGCATCCGCGATCTCAGATGCAACTGACGCGACACATTATCGTCACTTTCATTGAGCAGAGAGAGAGGGGGAACATGAAAAAGATATATTTTATGAGCGAGAGAGAGAGAAAGAAAAATAAAAGGAAAAAGTGGACGGTAAGAGGAAAGAAGATGATTTTACGTCAGTGACAGTGTATCTTAGAAGTGTTTCAAAGTATCAGACTATAATGATCAAATGCTCGTATAAGTTTCACGATATAACATTCGATCACCTAAACAATTTTTCTAACTTATCTCCAGTATTATTGTATTTTAGAGATCTGATTAAATAACTCGAATACCGTAAACCTCAAGGAACAAAGTCAAAGATTATCAATGAATATTAGGCCTCTCAGGAAGGTGAGAACAATGAAAAAATAGCAATCTCTCTCTCTCTCTCTCTCTCTCTCTCTCTCTCTCTCTCTCAAATATTTTTGAATACAACACGACGATAACGAGCGTAAACGCGATTTATTTTCAATTAAAGTATATCGCGCATATATATATATATCTGATTGCTTTCTCAAGGACAACCAATTTCACGCACGTCATTCGAGTATTACAAAATGACAAGAAAAAAGAGAATGATCGTTTAATTATGGCGCAAACCCGCGATGTACTTACTACTGCGAGGCTTAATTATTCTAATCGCTGATAAGTTAACGCTATCGTTTTTGCGTAAATTCGAATCACGTATTAAACGCGCTTTTATAAAACTTTGTTGATCTAGCGCAGAAAAAATGATAAATGGTATATTCTCATTTGTGTCTATAAGTCTAAAAATATAATTCGTAACGCGCTGATTAATCATATACTCGAGCGTTATTACTTCATTTTAATTTATTTTATTTTTGTAAAATACTGAAGAAGCTCTTAAGAGACGAGCGCCGCAAGCAACAGCACGAACGAAAAATATTAATAATGAAAAAAAAGAGAGAAGCTGGACGCGCACGGCAGCAAAAAAAATTTGCGATGGGCCGCTCGCGAAATAATATTGCGCGCTGTAAAGACCCGTTATAAACGAAGCTGTCGAATAATAATTATATTACGAGTTCGAGTGTTATATGTATGTGTATTGTGTATATAGTTTCTCGCGGGCGAAGCAGCCTCGAGGTCACGTGACTGGCTCACGACGAGATATAATCGTAACGCGAAGCACATACACACACACACACACACGCACACACGGATACACACTCAATCGGTCGATTTTAAAAATTTAAAGCTCCCAATAGAGTCGAGTCAAGCAACGTGGCCTGTGCGCGAGACCTCTTCATCATCATTTTATTTTATAATTAAGATAATTGTAAAAACGCGGTGGCGGCTGCGGCGGCGCTCTCGATTCTCGTGCCTCGTATTATAACGTATTTACGAAAGAGTTGCATTTTTTCGTAAATATCTCCGCGAGATGATTGGACGGGAAAAACATTACGAGGGTATCGCACCAGCAGCAGCTTGAAGACCTCGAGGCACGCGTTATCGGCTGCTTGCTCGCTACTTGTTACTTGCTGCCACCGTATAAGTAATGCCGCACTGATCAAGCCTCGTAAGTGTGTGCAGCAGCAATTGCGCCGCTTGCAATTGCGCGAAATAAATCGAGTGAGAGAAAGAGAGAGAGAGAGAGAGAGAGAGAGAGACATAAAGAGAACAAAAAATAATCGGTTATACATTACGGCCGAGACGTAACGTCGACGTTACGTATGTATGTGTATAAAGTTTACAGGCCAAGAAGCGAAAAAATTGTTTGAAATGTATTTATAGTTCGCTACTTCCACTATATGCGCTGGTATCAATCGTTGAAATTAACGTCGAAGGTCACGCCTACGTACGACGAAGCTCTTTACGACTCTCTTGAGAGAATTTCGTGTATTGTACGTACACATTATAATTGCGTATGTAGAGTAGTACACACACACAGATACGGTCCGCAACGAAATCTCCCGACTTTGATGCAATGACTTATGTATATATTCCGAGAGACAAAAAAGGCAGTTTGACCCTCGGAGATCTGTAGCAGCAGCAGCAGCAGCAGCAGCACACTGCATACGCAAATGTGAGCACTTGTGTAAGAAGAAAATGCACAGCGAGAATAAGTCTCTCGATTAAATGTCTATAATTTTCAGACGAGCAACGATCTAATATTCAAGTAGTATAACCAAATCATCGTAACTACCGTGCAAAGCTTAGAACGAAATGTATATTACATGTGTGTGTTTGTATGTTTGCATAAACGCCGCTTTACGGGGCCGATGACCGACGATTAGATTGCCATTTAGTGATAAGCCTCTTCTTTCTTTCGCGCTGCTCTCACTCACCCGAGTGAAGTTTTTTTTTTGTATAAATGTATATTATTATGTGTGTTACGAGCGTGTATTTACTTATATGTAAAGCGTCGATAGTTTCGCTATAAATGTGCAGAAAAAAATCTCGATAACTCGAGGAAAAAAAAATCCACTGAGAAAAAATCTCGATAGATCGAAAGCAATGTACATGTTAGGCTTGAAAACTTACAAACAATTATTGGATGAAAGGAAATCAAGATGAAAATGGCGCGACTGGATACATCAATAGGACCCTATTTGGAATGTATTGATTCAGCTCTCTATAAAGTAAAGTCAAAGAAAATGAATTCAACGATTTCTCCAGCCAATAATAATTATTTTTATTTTATTAATTAAAATTATTTACTTTTCTGTCTATTTATATGCTTTTCTAATTATCTCGATAACTGGAAAAAAATATCTTTTCCCCGGAGATTCGAGCTATCGAGATTTTACTGTATTCATACATGAATACATATGTAAGTTTGCTCAAAGCAGGAATAGAATACTGCGCGCGATCGAGACTGCCGATCGCCGCCACCTCTCTCTATGCAAACGATAAAGGTCATAGCGATTCAAGTTCACCCCAACGAACGTATACATTATGTATAATCTATAGTCGCATAAGATATAAGCCCGTGGTGCATCACAATTTGTTCGAAATGTATACAAATAAAAACCATTTCCGATGTAGTCCTTTTACCGCGTGCATACGAAAATTCTCACCTTTTTGTTTTTGCTTTTGTGTTTACAGCAACTCGCGGGCGTCGCGCAACCAGGCGGAAAAGCACCGAAGGGACAATCTCAACAAGCAAATAGCGACGATGGCGATGCTCGTGCCGTCCATCAGCGAAGGCCTCACCAAAAAGAGGGACAAAATTTCCGTTCTCAGGTTAACCTCGGCTTACATGAGACTGACCTACAGTAAGTATCTATATATTTTTTTCTTTTATGTAATTTATGTCGCGAGCTTTAGAAAAAATAAAAAAATACGCGACATGTATTGCAGCAGAGTAAAGGAAAGAGAAATATATACGGCTGGGATAACGATCTACGTTCTTTTTATTTTTTTACAGCACTGGGAGTCAAGCCGAGGAGAAAAACATACCTGCAGCCCTTCGTTCATTTAACCAACTTGGAGGACGAAGTACTCGAGGTAAAATAAAAATTCTTCCCAATTACGAACCGTGTGTGTGGTTCCCACACAGCGCGTCGTTAGCATGCTCGTCGAGCGAACTCAGCCGAAAAACCAGTCGAGATCGCGAGAAATATTTTATATTTTCGCCGTCATAAAGTATATAATAATCAAGAGAGATGTAAAATAGAGAAAAAAACAACCGTATAAAATAATGAAAAATAATAATAATAAAAAAAATCAGCCGATGTACATTTGCATACACTCTCGGGAGAGAGAATCGGCGGAATATTCATAAACCGGGCCATGAAAGTGATATCAGTCATCTCTTATTGGAATGAACACAACAGTAGCCTTTTTGCCGATTTTTCATCTATATAGAACTACGAAGACAAAACGAGTTTATTTGTGCGACATGACATTACAATCGAAAGAATCTCGGATGGATTCACGCGAGAGGTGGACGCGCGCGCGCGCGACTACGCAGACGACGCGCACCATTATATTCGTCAAAACAAGCCCGCTCGCTCGCGTTCGGTGCTCACAGGCTGCTCGACTCTTCTCGTGAATGAGCAAAAGATTCCGCTTGTAAATTGCGTGCAAATTTATCTATATATAATGCAACACACACGAAGACGAGAAGAAAAAGAAGTAGAAAAAAAGTCTGCATCGCGAGACACGACTAACGCAGAGCAGACCTATAAGACCGGAGATTTTTTATAGGTCCTGTTCCGTTGAGCGCGCGTCACGTCGTATCGCGAGAGAAACGTCCCTGAGCCATTGGCGCGTCCACGCGTGAGCGTCGCGTTACAAAAATAAATGTAGTAAAAATGAAAAGAGAGGAAGGAGACGAGAGGAAAAAAAAAGAATTCGAATGAATGAAAATTCTGTCGCGTATACCTACACGCCCGCACAAAAGTTTGAAATTCCGGAATTGCACACGATGCGTGGATACAGATATACACACAGTGAAACTTCCGCTAATTCGCAATCTCGTGGGATCGGAAAATTCTTCGAAGCAGGAGGAAAATTCAAATCATAAAAATTTTCTATAAAAATTCAAAACTATACAATGTAATAATATGGAGACGCAAAGCGACAAATCACTTTGCGCTTATCGAGGATTTACACGTGACAATCCCCTTAAGATCAACGCGATCCGAATTAGTAGGGCTTCCACTGCATTATATCGACTCGATAATTACGTCTCGCCAATAATCAATCCCTCTCTCTCGATTGTTTCATTCAGAGCTTGGTCGGCGCTACGAGCTTCCTCTGCGTGCTCACGACGTTCAACGGCAAGATCGTTTACATAAGCAAGAACATCGAGCGGCTCATGGGTCACGATCAGGTAAGCAATTATCCCTTTTTTTTTAATTAACATTTGATATATAGGATATTATTCCCAACAATAACAATCAAAAAAAAAAATCTGGAGGACCTTTTCTCCTAGCGAGCAGCAGCAGCGCAGGTGTATAAATTAATAATCGGACGCGTGGCTCGGCGGCTGACGTAGCCTTGTCCACGCGCCCGCCCGCCCGGCCGCCGTCTACGTCGTGCGCGGCTCGCACAGGTATACCGAGGCAGGCAGGCGCTATACAAGGCAAGAGAGAATCAGCACAGACATCGGAATCGCACACGCATAATAATGCGTGTATTATACAAACGCCGGAATCGCGTATTATTGATCATCTCTCGCTCGAGCCCCGAGAGTCTTTCCTGACCCGCCGTCTATATACGTAACACATCGGGCATCGAGCTCTATGGCAACGAGCAGCAGCAGCAGCAGCGGCAGCAAAAACTCCTCGTCGTGGACTCGCCGTCTGTATGGCTACTTCGGGGGCTCGACAGGTGTTAGCTGCTGCTACTGTTTCTGCTGCGCTGCCTTTTCAAGATCGCTCGCAAGCTCGGCGTCACGGCCACGCGGTGTATCTATGCCGCTGCTACTGCTGCTGGATTTTTCCCATTGTTTGTGTTGTGCGCGCATATAATATTTCCCACCACCACCACCACCACCACCACCACCGCTGCCGACGTCGAAAGTTATGTAGGTGTAGTACTGCTCCACCAACGACGAACTACCTTGATAATAAATTTCGCTAACGAACCAAACGCGCGGGCGCAGCAGCGCGAGTAATTTATATGTATTATCGTGATCCTGTGCGATCAGTGTGTGCTACTGAGAGCACATATCATGATGCACGAGAGTAGCTTCTGCTGCTGCTGCTGCATATGCAGTGCAGCCAGCAGAAAATAAACTCGCCAATTTCATCCCGCTGGGTGGTCCCGCGAACTGCGACGTTAGTATAGCCGCCCCGGATCCTTGCCGAGGCTCTTGACGCGCGGCGCGTGCACGAGTGCGTACGTTGTCTCGTGCCTGCCTACATACCTCAAGCTACCTATATGCACCTGCCTGCAACAGCCTAGAAATTATGTGTATATCTATCTTATGGAAGGAACCTTCTCGATTCTTCTCTCATTCCCGGGCAGCAGCCGCGCGTAATATAATGCTGCTGCAAGTCTAATACATACTCGCTCGGGCTTTGAGCTCTCGCGCGCGAGCTCGTGTCCCGGTTCTGCACTTACATCGTGTGCACCGCACGTGTGCCACACTTCCCATTCACCTAATTTCATAACATATGATATAATTTTTTTCTTCTCTCTCTCTGTTTCCGTGCGGCGCGCGCAGTTGGACATGCTCGGCGAGTCGGTGTACGATCACGCCTTCAGCGGCGATCACGACGGCCTGCGCGAGGGCCTGCGCTGCGAGGGCCTCGAGTTCGACGGCACCGCGAGCCCGCGCACCGGCGTGCCCTACAAGAACTTCCAGCCGAAGCGCGCCACGGTGCACGTGAGACTGGCGCATCGGGGCCAGCCGCGCAAGGAGGAGCCCAAATACGACACGGTCATGCTCACCGGCCTGATACGTCTCGCGGACAAGGTGCTGCGCCTGCAGCAGGAGGCCCTCGACAAGCTGGCCGCCGGCGTGCCCGAGTCCGAGCTGCCCGCCTGGGTGCCGACGAGCAACGACGTCATCTTCATCGCCACGGGCCACCTGAGCAAGCGCCGACCCCACAAGGACATCTCGATCCTCGACTCGACGCGCGACGAGTACTTCACGCGCCATCTCATCGACGGCCGTATTATTTACTGCGATCATCGCATATCGACGGTCACGGGCTACATGACCAGCGAGGTCAGCGGCGCCAGCGCCTTCAAGTACATGCACAGAGACGACGCCAGCTGGACCATCGTTGGCTTGAGGCTCAGTACGTATCGATAATACAAACCTTGAGTTGAAAAATTTGGAAGGAATTTGCAACGATGTTCATTGGATTTTTGAACGTTATTTTTCTAGTGTACGATCAGACGAACACGTTCGGCAGCTCGTGCTACAGATTGAAGACCAAGACCGGGGCGTTTATCTATCTGCGCACTTTCGGCTACCTCGAGTACGACAACAATACCAATGCGGTATGCTCGTTTCTCTGCATCAACACACTTGTCTCGTAAGTTTTTCTGATAATTGTAAAAAAGATTTCACTCGAAAGAGATTGTTTATGAAAAAAAAAAACTCAAACTCAATTGTGTTTATAACAGACCCGAGGAAGGCGAGAAACTCATGGCAGAAATGAAGAATCGCTTCGCCGCCACGATGAGAACCGATCCCAACTGCAAAGCCATCGAAGACGCGACTCAAGTGGTAATGATCGTACTTTAAGCGCACTCGGGCGTGATTTTCGAAACGTCAATTCTCACCCGTGCTTTTCATTTCCCCAGAACGTCGATGGCGAGACCGCGAGCGACCCCCAGATCGCCAAGGGACTCACCCATCTGATGACCGATCTGCCGCTCTCGCTGCCCACTGATTTCGGCACGCAGCAGCCGCCCAACACCGAGCTCATGAAGGCCTGCATCTACTCCAAGGAGCTGCCGCCTGCCAGCGAGCAGGCCAGACAGGCCGGCATCATGCAGATCGAGAATCTCGGGGGCAAGGGCAAGTCCGTGCCCGCGTCGCCCGCCAACTCGGTCTCGTCGTCGGGCAGCTCGCAGAGTCAGGCCGACGCTCATCATCACCGCAAGGGTGACAAGGTCATGCCGGAGCTGGACGCCCTGTCGGCTCTGAGCCCGATCTCCAACGAGAGGAGAAAGCGCGATCTCATCGCTGACAAAGGTTTGTATTTTTTTCAATTTAATGGTTTGTCGAGAAAAGTTGAAAACTTTTTTTATATCATCTATATTGTTGTCGATTTGATACAGTTTCGAGGATGGCGAAGAGTCCGATAGAGTCACTTCAGACTCCGATTGTTGAGCCACCTCAACCAACGCCACCGATGAGGCCATTAAACGAAACGTGTAGAACAAATGGCAGCCGTAAGAGAACGCTGTCCACAGAAGGTTACGAAGATGACGAATTTGTAAGTAAAATCGAGCCTTTTTTCCATTCATAATTTAGAGATTTTTTCACATTTTCTAATTTCTTCATTTATATTATGCATCACATAGGGAGGAGACCTGGTGAACGGAAACAAGCGTGCTTGCAAAATGCCACGCAAGTATCCTTCTACGATACCCGTCGCGATGCCCGGCACTTCGGCAAGCGCCGAACTGCCTCTGTCGTCTTCTCCGTTTTCTGAAATCAATAACGATGCCTCAGATTTCTCGATGGTGTTTGACGTTCCTATGACAGTCGATGAAATTGTGCCGAATGGCAATTTAACGGACGAAACTATGAGTTTCGATTCGACTCTTCAAATGGAATCCATTGTTCCCGACGCGAGTTTAGTCGACGAACAATACCTTCCCTGTACTAATCAACAAAGTGAATTGAACGGAGATGTAGGGGAAGTCAATGGTTATGTATCTTGCCAAGAAAATGATGATTCTTACTTGGATACAGCAATACAGAACAATCCAGGTAATTTTCGGGAGAAAAAAATTGTCTGCGAATCTGAAAATATCTCAAGCTTGTCTGACATTATGCTTCTATTTCAGAATTGTTAGATCTATTTTCAAATCTTCCTGTTAACTTCGATGATCCTGCGAATATCGGAGAAATTAATCCGTATCCCACCAACACAGTAGATTACAGAGCTGCGCAATGAATTGGAGAAACATAGTTCAATTAAGTAATTTGGACGATTGCAACAATCGGATTTCTATAATTTTCAAGAAGAAAAACATTATGTTAATGATACACTATAAGGCTTATTCTTGCGTAAAAATCGATTCTATTATATAGAATTCGAACAATTTTTATTCCACAATGGAAGAAATTGCGAATGTTTACGTAAAAATTAGGCACGCCATACAGGAATTCTTATAATGTTCAAACCAATTATTTCATATTTACAGTTACGATCGTACGCATCGTTATCGATATTAATTTTTTATCCCACGTTTTATCAACAATTATCCCATCGTTTATTAATTAGTAATACATTAGTATTGATTTAGAAAATTTGTGATTTCTGGAATTGGAAAAATTACTGTTGGAAGGCTTTATAAAAGTAGCAAAATTGTGTAGAAAGTGCAATTTTCAAATTTACGCCATAAAAAAGTGCCGTGTCTAGTCTACTTAAACAAATGTACAAAAAGACGTGAAAAATATTTTAATTTTTGAAATTCTATTATTTTTTTCAACGTTTTATTTAATTTTATCAAAAAAGTGACGAGACACATGGGGGAGCATATTCTACAACATATTCAACACCCATATTAACTGAGAATTTATACTTCAATTATCTTTTTAAAGTTATCGCAACTTTTTCAAGTATTATTTCTTTTTATAGTAGGAAATATATTATAAGTTTAAAAATGTCTCGTACATTGAAAGTATTGTAAAAATCAAAAAAATTTAATGGACTCTATGACCTGTGAAACTCTTCTTTCAATAATATTTAATTTGGTGGGTTTCAAAAATGGATTGTTTTAGAATATGCTGAGACCAAAAACAATTTGCAATCAAAATTATGATTTCGAAGCATATATAAATATATCTAGAAAACTTAATTAGCATGTAAGTTCTCCGTACCTAGACGGTGTTCATTTAATTATTAGAATAAAAAACGCTATTTACATGCGAAGACAAAACTGAAGTGCAAATTGTATCAAAATTAAAATATTTTAAGTATGTTACTTAAAATAAACATAAAAATTCAAACTATATACAATCGTTAAATGGGATTGTAAATATGTCAATGATCTACACAACTTTGAATTGTCCGTTGTAAAATATATAGAAAAGCTCAAAAAAGTTGTTTGTAAAACAGCTTGCTGTATGTACAACGTCATTGCAGAGTTAAACGTGCATTTTGATCAACGAATATTTTTATTAAAATATAATTAATATAAGCATTGTAAATATTATACATTACATTCTCGAGTTTTTTAATTATTGTTTAAGCAAATGGAAGAGTGTACTGTTGTGCTGTTTTGATGTTGTTATATGACGATGTGCTTTAAATATATTTGTAATTATGTTCATGCTAAAGAGATATATTGTATTTACAATATAATATGTTCTAATGTGATTTCAGATATTTCAAAATAGTATATATATATTGTACAATGTAAAAAGTTTACGAAATTGTCGATGAGAAAAAGATTATCGATTGAAGACTGAGGAACTTTTTACTTTCTCTGCTGTACATAATTATGAAATAAAAAATTAACCTGAACCCACCGCTTATTTAGTGTTTTACTTTGTTGGTAGTATCACATCAATTGTTATGCTACAGATAGTACCTCGGTATATTTTCGATAAAGAATAAGATTTTTGAACTTGCGTTTCAAAATAGGAATATGTACTTTTTGTTGCAAAACAACATAAATGGGCCTTGCAAACTTTCAATAGAATATGCTATTACTTTTGTTCTCTAAGATATCTGCCTTTATCTCATGAATTGGGAATGTTGACACATTAAAAGTGATGAAGTATTATTATGTATTATTAATATTACTATCTCACGAAACAAAATGATGGCTTGTCTTGCAGTCTATAAATAATCAGAATTCTGCAAACAAAGCGAATTCTCGGTAAATCTTTAAATGTTATATTTCTGTGCGTGTCATTACAAATTTGAAGTTGAAATATATTAAATAGATATATAGCGATGGACCGTGGAAACTTTCCATGGTCCGTATGTGTCGTGTTGCTTGTAAAAAAAATGCTTTATATTCATTAAGAATGCTGTCATTGTGTATACATTTTTCATACTTTTGTATATTCAATTATTTCTTCGAGTCGATATATATCTCGTTAACACTGTGAAAAAAAAGTGAATTACCAATCAAACCCAATGAGCGATTTTGTAAATTAGTTATGATTATTGACTAAATAAAAATCAATGTTTTACATTAGCTTCTTTGAGTTCTCAATTAAAAATATATGTATGAGTGTAAAGTTTATGCTATACTGCTATCCTCAAAAATTTGTATGGAGTTTTTTATATGTCCAATTCATTTATTTTATCATTTGACTTAGTGTGTACAAAAAGTATGCCAATGTAAAGATAACTCATGCGAGTTTTGTGGGCATCGAAGAATTAAGAAAAGAAAATCAATATAAAATCTAAACGGACCTAGTTTATGATTTTGCAAAAAGGTACATTGAAAATAATCTATAAAACAACGTTAGAATATAGGGTGACAGTGATAATAAGTTTAAGTTTTTGATCGGAATCGTTGATGGATTTTATTTTTTTTTCTTTTTTTTGTGCAAAATTTTATTTATCGTAATTCTTTTGTGTCAAGACTGAATTATAACGGCGTTGTAATTGTTCAACGAATACACTGTGAATTAAAAGAAAATAAATTGTTTATTTATAGAATTTTATGAATTGTGAATTACAGATCGCGGCATCATTTTTTTGTGCCAATCCGTGGGAAATACACTCTAATTCGTAATTTTTGTAGCGAACGTAAACAAAATTCCGATGGTTACTCATTCTCAAACGCAGTAGTCCAAGGCCTACTCGAGTCGGGGAGGAGCACTTGTATAACTCGTATGGCTCTCTCGACCGATTGACCTTAATTATATGGGTTTTTGAAATTCAAGAAAAATCTCATTAACGACCGACTTAATGGAAATGAATTAAGGTGACAATTTCTCTCACGAAATTCGATAAATAGACAATTATGCGATTACAAGTTCTGAATCATGTTTCTGAGGGCAAAACTGAAGAAGCAAAGAAATATATGTAAAAAACAATATTTTAATGATAAAATAAAGAAAGAATCATTAAAAAATTATTGGCGAATTATTTGTTGATTATAATCGGTGTAGAAATAAGCACACAAGCATTAACGCCCCACTGATATTTATAATCATCAATTTTTATTTTCTTCGGATGACCTTTTTTTTTCTTAATTACATCATTGACGCAGCTGCGTCATCCGCAGTGGAGTATAAATAAGTTTTGTCGAATAACTCTTATTTTCTCATTATGTATACCTATATATTTATATACTTTTTTCTTTCTTTCTTCTCTTGTCGATAAAACAGAATTTGGTATAATGAAAGAATGTCGTCATCGTCGTGTAAGTCGAGTCGCTTCACTCCAGGCCACTCGTTCAATAATTAATATACAATATTCCTGCTATTTTTTTTATTATTAACGCATATATAATCTACAAACGCCGTGTGACGATGAAATATAACATTTTGTCAATATACACATGAGCTTTACATGCTTATGTTATATATAATAATAATCTATTTATATAATACCAAAAGCGACTCGCCGAATACCATACAGTAACGAGCTTTTATTTAATATAGAAAAATACGGAGGAAGCTTAATCTCAATGAAGAATTAAATTTGTTTACTCTTCGCTCGCAGTAAAATGCACGTAAATTTATATTAATTTACGTAAATTTATATTAATGAATCAATTGTAGAAAAAAAACCTCAGTAGCTTTACAGGTGTAATAAAAAGATTTCGCGCAATATCGATAAATTATCATTTATATCGTATTATATTATAATCTTGACATTCTCAATCGTCGACGTGTTTTATTTTTTAATAATTTGTTTATTTGTCACTTTGAAGGAAGTAATATTTGTTCATTATATATATCTTGTAACTTGTTGAATGTATACGGATCGTAGCAAAGTCCGTAATAGCGATATATATATTTCACATTTTCTCTTTCAAGCTTCTCTTGTTCCGTGTTTGTTTATTAAGTGCGTGCGAAGGGGGATAGATCGAACAACTATCGATATAAATGGGCTCAAATGAAATGGTCCTTTCTTGGGTTTATAGTATTTTTAATTATAAATATTTACAATCGGGGGGTTGCTTTTTTATTTTGTTGCGAATAGAAACGAAATAAAAAGTGACAATTATTCCTTCCGGTTACGCGGCGCTCACAATCCTGTATCGCGCACGATCGATCGGTCCGTACAATAAGCTCTAATACTTTCGCATCTATTTATAGATAATAAACAGAATATAGTACAGGAACTACGAGCAAGATTTTAATTTTGCGCAGAATGATGAAAAAAAAAGGTACAGATGTTCAAGGCCTCGTAATACAGTCCGGCTTGATCAACGCAGGGAATTATGTTTTCATATATCGATTAGAGGCTTCAATTTTTTTTTTCAAACGCGTGGCAAACAGCCGCGAACGGGGAGAGAAGGATCATCATTGTCGCTCAGTCGAAACTCTTTCTGTTTCTTACTCGATATAAATGTCCTCGATGGGGAAGGCTGTCTCGACGAATTTCGTGTAGAAGCGATGAAAAGCTCGCCTGCAAGCAGAAAAACGACATTTTTCAAATCGGTCCCCTTAATATATAAATCTTCTTGTATTTCATTATTGTAAGAATGGCGCGCGTCTTACCCAACGGCCTCGGCGACGGGCCTCGTCGACTCCTGGCCGACGAACACGTGACAGGCGAAGCGCTGCAGGGTCGGGTGCTTGGTTATGAAGCCGAGATAGCGATGGTCCCGCGGATGAAAGGCGCAAAAGCTCACGTTCTTCAGCGAGTAGAAGTAGTCGTGGCAGTTGTTCCTGCCGCTGCTCGACTGCTTGCCGCCGCTGCGATCGAGCATGCGCAGACCCTGATCGGAGATCTCGAGCACGCAGCTCTGGGGCTGGGGTCCTCCTCCGACGCTGCCGCTGCCCTCGCCGTCACCGCCGCTGCCGACGATGCGCCTCACGGCCTGGCACACCACCCCCGTGCCCTTGTGCGCCTGAGTCTCGACCGAGCCCAGATAGCCCAGCAGGAAGCGCTCGCGCTTCACCTTGGGCGCGCTCGGGTCGAAGTCGCTGTAGTCGAGGTCGACGGCGTAGGCCGACGGGAAGATGCCCTGGCGGCCGGTGCGCAGGTTCACGCCCTCGCACCAGAGATCGTCGGCCTCCTTCTGCACGTAGACCGGGTCGCCGATCTCGAGCTCGATCTCGTCCCGGTGGCGGGGCACGAACTTGTGCAGGCCCCGATGCGTGGCCTCGAGCAGCTCCAGCTGCGGGAACGACAGCAGGCCCGCGGCGCTGCTGCTGCCCGGCGTGCTGATCTGCGGCGAGAGCGGACCGCCGCTCGAGGAGTCGCCGCCGAGGCTGACTATCGAGCTCTGCAGCAGGTTGTGCGCCGGGCCGCTGCTCGTCGGCGAGACGCTCTTGGGCCCGTTGTCCGGCGAGTGGGCCGTCGAGTGGCCGCTATCGGTGGGCGACGTGTCGTCTTGCTGTTGCTGAATCGGTGCCTGGGTGGGCCACAGGCGCAGTCCCTTGCTCTGGATCTGCTGCATGAGGTGCGGCCTGCCGGCCGTCACCGCAGCCGCTGCCGCCCGGGCGGCTGCGTCAAGCTCCTCGGCCAGCGACGGCGCCGATCGCGTCATCAATGCTACATACGATTAACAATTTTTTGTTCCACTCAGACAATTGATTCGAGAATCAATAATGAAAATTAATAATCTCGCAGCCGATACTAACATTTTTTCTTGGGTATCTCGGGCAGACGCCTGCGTCTGCGCTCGCCGTTGTTCTGCTGCTTGGTCTGCTGCTGCTGCTGTTGATGTTCGGGCGTCGTTGTCGTCGCCCACGAACTGCTCCAGCTGGAGGTGCACGAGTCGCCCATTTCGCTGCTACCGATGGCGCTATCCCGACCGCTGTTGTTGTTGCTGCTGTTTTTGCAGCTTCCATTATTCAAGTCGTTGTTGTTGTTGTTCAACCGATGCAATCGATCCGAGGAAAATACACTGTAAATAGCCGAAAATTGTTTAATGAACTGTACGATCGAATAGGAGCAATCGATCTGTTATTAGCTTGAGAGTAAAGCTAGTCCAAAAACCACTCGAAATCTCTTGAAGAATACAAAGATCAGATGTACTCTTATACAATTATTTTTACTCTGTCGCTTGCAGTTTTACAGCTGAAAGTAATCGCCATCTAGTGGTGGATGCTGAATCCAATTATGAATGGATTTTTATGAATTTTTTGAGCAATGACAATGGAAATGTTATAATTTGAGATGCAGTAGAAATAAATCTACTTTGTTCATTGCTGCTTCAAGTTAAATGCTTAAATGTATGGGATTGTATTTTCATAGATTTCTTGTACAAATTATCCTAGGTATAGAAACGTTCAACATTAATGATGTCCTAATGACCAGAAAACGACCATTCAAAAAGGGTTTAGAATACATTACAATTGATTTGCTTGTTTCGACGATTTTTAAATAAAATTGTGTTGGAAGTATTACTTCAAGTCTCCACCACTAGATGGCGAGTAATTTCATTTCTGTAAATCTGCAAGTAGCAAAGTCAAAATATTTATATAAGTCGAGAAGCACGTTTTTCAGATAAATTCGATTTTGAATCGCTCATGTCGAAAAAATTTTTTCGTTACCGCAAAACAATCCTTAATATATTGAGAATTTCTACCAGGAATGTTGTTAAAGTAAATAAATCAGTACTGATCGTTAATTTTCAACGTCTAACTTTCATGTAAAAGTACCTTGTATATAATTCAGTACGTGGCTAATTTAATTCCATTGTCTGGTTTTGCTTCACAAATCTGCAGAGGTTTTTTAAACAGCAGTTTTTTAACGGCTTCATGAAACGAGTATCGTCAATTTTATTTTTGAGCCTCGTCATCCCCTTGAAAAACAATTACAATCCCTCGTATTATAATACCTGAAATCGCTGTCGGCGATGATGGTCGAGTAGCACAGCTGCTCGCACTCGTCGCAATCGTCGGCCGAGCCGCCGCCGCCGTTGTGATCGCTGTGGGCCTCGTGGTACTGATGCCTGTGCAGCAGCACCGACACGTCCTCGTCCTCCTCCGAGTCGAGGCCGAGCAGTAGGCCACCACCGCTGCTACCGCCAGTGATCAGCCGTTTTTGTTGCTGCTGCTGTTGCTGGCTATTGCGACGATTCGTCGTCGTCGTCGTCGAGCCGATAACGGCGTTGCTCTTGCGGTCTTTGAGGTCGTCATCGTCCTCGTCCTCGTCGTCGGCGTTGTTGGCAGTAGTGCTGGTGGTGGTCGTCTTCTGGGCCCGTGGCGAAGTCGACGACGACGATCCCGAGCTCGGTGATTCATCGTCCAGCAGGATATCGTGAACGAGCCTGAAATAAAGCAACGAGAGATAGGGAGGGAGTGAGACAGAGAGAAAGAGAGGATGAATATGTAAAAGCGGTGGAACACAAGAGTATAATCAATCGGCGAGAAAAAGAGCATATAGATATAATCTCTAGTACTATCGTGTATACGAGACGTGTAGATCGTCGCGCGCGAGACTGCGCGATAGCCGCGGCGGTGTATATAGGTATGTACGTTATATACGATATAAAAGAAGCAACAAACCGAGACGCAGCATCCGCGCCCCGAGGGACATTCATAAAAAATTTGTATAGGCGTAAACATACTCGTACATTAACGATCGTTAAATTATTTATTTGGGACGGAGTACTTGGTAATTTTAAACTGGCAAAAAAGTCAGACACTCACGTGTAATTGTTGGATGTCGCCTTGAGATGCTGAGGCAGCCTGTCAAAGTAATAACGAAACTCCTCGAACTCGCTGTCCGCCATGGCCACCTTTCCTCTCTACGTTATTATTGCAGGTCCAGAGGGTCTCCCTTGGACGAGGCCTAGCTCGCGCGCGGGGGCGGAACACCCGCAGCAGGAGCTTTTTTTTTGCTTCTGTCAATCGTGCACTCGCGCGACTCGAGGCTGTGACAATTTTCCGAGAAAAATACAATCTTCTCTTCGAACGCCTACGCACCAAAGTTTATTTGCGCAAAACAACCCTTCGATACTTTTGTGTGTACGGTGTTATATTATATCTGTCACGAGGAGCCAAAGCAGCAGCAGTGGCAGCCACATAGCCCTCTTTTTTTTCGTCGAGCTCTGTCTGCCTCCGCTGCACACGCACACACGGTATAGGGTATCGCGTTGCAGTAGCGAGTCTACCTTACTTTACGGGCCGTGTGTGCACTCGCCAGCCGAGATATTGATTCGAGCCACTGAATATTGTGTGTGCTGTGCTGTGCTCGTGCTCTGCTGCTGCGCAGCGTATATATTTATACGCAATATAGCGTAGGAGTCGGAGTCGCAGCGACGCTGCAGGGGGATGATATTGTCGGCCGAGTCCGCCGCCCTCTTTGAGAAAAACAACCCCCCGCCGCCGATCAAGTCGCGAGCTTACCTACCTACCCCTTGTGTCATGTGTCGAGCGTCGATGTGTAGAGAGCTGCAGTATGCATACTTAGGGGTTGGAACGATTGTTGCAACCCGCGGTCGTATCTTTGAATTTTTTTTTTGACGTACAATCGATACGTGGCTTATCTCATATTTTTTTCAATACTTCCAATCCTTTTTTCAGGATTTTTTTCCTTTTCGTTTGTACATTAGCTGTTATACCGCAATATTGCGTAAAGTACCCAAGATATCGATAAAAAAGCTGCATGTAAAAATAAAACGAGCTCTCGAATCTTGGCACGAATAGCCCACAAGTTTACCCAAGAGATTCGCTCGTTCGCTCTCTTTTAGCTGAATGATTGATGCTTTCTTCGGAGCGAGAACGCATGTAACGAGACAATTTTCCCCGTTACCTGTCACGAAACTCACTACCGAAATTTACAATAACATTAATAAAAAAATGATTTGTGAACCAAGGATGCGTCAACGATATTCTAACCTAATTCTAAATTCGCAAGGAACTAAACCATTGTTATGCTAAAAAAACCAAGAGTGATTAAATGTATATTGTTTCTTTTTTATTTCAATATATTTTGATTACATCATAAGACAATTATTTATATACATATTTAGAGATTATTTAATTTAATTTTTTTTGCAAGTATAAAAACAATTTAATTTAATTTTCAACAGTAGATTCTTATACATTTTATAAAAGTAAAAATAATGTAATCAGGATATATGAGTACTCCGTCTTAAGATTTCTATGTTCCGTTAAACTGTAAATCTGACGTTTGACTCGCAGGTGTTTGGCTCGCTTGAACTGCGGCAACCGAGTCAACTGTGCTCGCACAAATAGAACAGATCCTCGTTGCTCATACTCTCGGCAATCCGGTAACAAACGTCGTAGGGCAGATTCAGTCGGCACCGCGGATCGTTCGCGAAGAGCTCGGCCGCGAACAATTTCAAATGTCCCCTTATCAAAATGTTCCCTATGTGTCTCTTTACGATCTGCCGCAACAAACGTATTTCGTTGTCGTTCATCGATGGCACGCGCCAATCGTTCATTTTTTCCAAAATCGAGTAACCTCGACGATAATTCATTTGGCACAGCCGATAGAGCGAGATGTCGTCGTTCAACTTAATTCCTTTCAACTTATCTACTTCGATCTTCAACATATCCATGAAAAATTGATTCTGTGGATCATCGGGTATGTCAACTTGTTCGGCGTACGTTACTGGCATTTTTTTCCTCGTCGCTTCGTAAAATTGGCGCAAGTGATTCATAGACTCTGGTCTAATGTAGAAACCATACTCGTTGAATATGATCAAATTCTGCACGATCCTTATATAAGATAATGCTTCGAGTGCGCCTGCAGCATTAGGAGATGAAAAATATTATCGTACCATGAATAAAAGTAAGTAAGTAACTTAACGATGAAAAAAAAAGGTTGAATGACTCACTATCGTCGGGGATCAGGTGGTCCGTATCGTTTTCCTGAATCTTCTTCCAATACTTCAACATTCTATGCCGGGTCTCGTGGCTCATCTCGCGGCCGGCCGACTTGAGTAATTTCATCGTCTCGATGATCTCCAAAGTCAGCGGGTAGCACTTCAATTCGTGCGCGGAGAAATTGTCCCGCGCGGCGCCACGGAACCATCCGTCCTCGTCCAGCGAGGCCACGTCCGCGCCTCTGTCCAGGAGCGCTCGCGCGAGCTCCGTGTCGTGACGCGCCACCGCCGCCCCCAAAGGACTCAGGCCGCGACGATCGCGCGCCTCGATGTTCGCCCCGGCCTCGAGGAGCGCGTCGATTATCTTCGCTACCGGTCTTCTCTCGTCGTTAAAGTAGAAGCCCCCGCCCGTCTCGAGCAGGCAGGTAAGCGCGAGCGCGTGCAGTGGAGTCGCGCCCGCCTCGTGCTCGTCCTCGCGGTTCGGATCGGCTCGGCCTTCGCGCAGCAGCAGCTTGACGCAGTCCGAGTGCCCGAACCGAGCGGCTAAGTGCAACGGCGGCGAGCACGCCCACGAGTGCGCGAGACGATCGTCGTCGATCCCCCCGCCGGCGGCGGCTGGTTGACCCTCGTTGGTGCCCATGAACTTTCGCACCAGGTCCACTCGGCCGATGGCGCAGGCCCCGTGCAAGAGCGTGAAGCCCCACACGTCCCGATGATTCACCGTGAGACGTTGCAAAATGTATAGGATAAGATCGCTGAACTGAATAAAATCGTAAGCGGCTCGTTCGACCAAATAATGAACGGCTGATTTTCCATCCTCCCATCTGAACGAGTCGAATTGCGCCATACCGTTTTCATCGAGCGCTTTCAACATCTCCAGCAATCCATGCTCCAATGCGTATTTCATGAAGTATCTCGTATTATAGGCACTATCGACACTGGGAAATAGGCTTTCGCACTTCGTCAACTGCATGATCAAATCCTGAACATTCGGGATTATTAATTCGATCGCACCTTTGATTTCGTCACAAAAATATTTACGTCTTTCCTCTTCGTTTTCTATGTTTTCCAGAACTCTTTTCCAGTCTTCTGGTCGTTCATTGTTCAATAAGGGCTCCATAATGGAAGGAACTTGAAATGAATTAACTCGAGCGCAATGATAAAGTTTCAATTTATACACTGAGAAAATAGAATCATTGATTCAACAAAGTTATTTAATTAAATACAATCTATGAAATAATTTCATTAAAATAATCTTTTTTATTTCATCCAACAAAATATTTAATTGTTTATACCAAAGTTTCATTGCTTCAATCAATCATTTGATTAAATTAATCGCGCGTATCAACTTTTTATTCGGGTTTTGAGGTTAATTTAAGATTCACAAATAGTAATAAGTTTCAAACGCGCTTCGCGCGCGTCAATTTTTTCAGTCGTGTTTTGAGGTTAGTTAAAGATTCAGAAATAGTTCAGAAATAGTAAGTTTCAAACGCACTTCGCGCGCGTCAAAGTTAAGACAGTTAGCAACGCAGGCGCTCGTATCGAGTCGGCTCACGTCGGGTGTCGTCAGTGTCAGTCAATTAGACGTCGTTTTTCGATGCTTCACTTTGAGGTCTATCTCTTTTTTATAAGTAGATTTTTATAAGTAGAATAAAATATTAAATTAGATTTCATTGAATCAATGAATTTTTTTTCTCAGTGTATGCCACTACCGAGCACGTGGTCGAAATTTACACAGCACTAGCACAAACCGAAAGAGAGAGTTGTACGCAGCATACAGTTGCACGTAGTAGTTGAGGTAAAACTGATCGTGAAACGAAAGACTATAGTGTGAGATGTTTTTTGACAGCGCATTAGAAAGTATATACATGCGCGGCGACGACACACACACGTGGTATCGTCTGCTACAATTTCTTTAAAAGAATACGAAAAAATACCACGGCCGGAACGATTATGGAAAAAATCGGCATAATATTTTTGGAGATATAAACAATTTTCGAAAAAAAGCCGCAATTTCTTTATTTTTTAACCAATGATTTTCATTCTAGTTCATTCTGAGCATTAACAAGGACAGATTATTGTGTTAAAATTTCAGGGTAATAAAATTAATGGTTTTTTCTTAACCGCTCCCGCCGCGGTTTTTTTTTCGTGTTCTGCTGAAACAATTGTAGCAGACAACACTGGGTGGCAACAAATTATAGAAAAAACATTTTTTTTTTCATTTTGGAGGAGGGAGGTCTCCTTAAGTTTCGGTAATGAATGCCGAAGCCGCTCACGCAGCCACGATTTACACTGTCCCTATTGTTAACTCCCTATTGTTAATACTTTCATACTCTAACATGTAATCCACATTGATTTTTTTCCTGTTTCGGTTTTAATAGGATTTAGCTTGGAAGCATTTTTAAGTTAATGGTTTCAAATGGTGAAAATTTATCGAAGTGTTTTGTATAGGTTCATAGAGGGTAACTTTTTTTGCCAATTATATCTACCGGAATTTACATGGTTTGGAAAAATGGATGTCAACCGATATTATTTTACTGTTTTTTATAGATTCTTAAATGGAAATTTTTTTATGAATTATATCAATACGTTTTTATGTGGTTTAGAAAAATCGATCACGACCAATGCTATTCAAGTGGTTTTTGTGAGTTTAAAGATAGGCAATTTTGTAATGAATACATATTAAGAATTCTAATATTTGATTAATATGTGAAATAAATATGTATTAATGGTAGATATTTAATTGAAAAAATGACTTAAAAGTAATTAACAACATGCAGTTTATTTAAATAATTGTGAAAAATAATAACATTTTTTTTGTTTTTTATTAATGAAATCGGAAAGTAATAGTTTTCATATAACATAAAATTATGTAATCCCAATAACTACAGTGTTTTTATAAAAAAATATATCACACGACATATATTGAAATTGTTGACTAATTTTGAACAGAAATTCTTAAACTACTAAAACTAAATAGCAACTACGAGTAATACACCTTTTTTTGATGATAAATTTTTTTTCACGAATCCATATTTAAGTTGAACTCGGATTGACATAACATTTGTAATCTACTTATCGACTCTACATGTAGTGTAATCAAAGGAAAATAATTATTTTTGTTTCTTCTCTAATCTATAAAAAATGAGGAACTGGAACAGAACATAACATCTTTCTGTATGATTTTTTTAAATTCAGTTTTGAATGAAATTATAAAAAAAATGTTATTTCTTACTGAGATGCAGATAATTAATTGCGCTTTTTTGTATACAAAAAATGCATATATGCATTGCGAGGTAGATTATCTTTTTCTTGCATTTTCATCATTTCATCATCATCATCATTCATCCTTTGAATTACTTCTGCTTGACTCCTCATCGGCGCTACTATCTTCATCTGTTGATTCTGCATCCTCCTCATCGCTTTCCTTATCGTTTTCCTCATTGATTTCATCATCGCTTTCATCATCGCTACTTTCACTAGCATTAGTGTTAGCAGTTTCTGATTCGATCGAATTTTCTGGATCTTCATCATTGCTAACACTTTTGTCAGGTTTCTTTGCGTTCTTGGAATTTGGAGGTGCAGCAGATTTTTTTTACCTTTAGCTGTAGCTTTTTTCTCTGGTTGCAAATCACTCATTTTGGCAGATATGTATTCGCTCACATGTTGCAGCTCGTGGAATATTTCAACAGTATTCTTATTTCTTACGCCTTCCAAGTAGAATACAAATATATCTAAATAAAAAGGTTCCATTCAAATTGTTATATTCACGGTACGATGTATTCATGTGATAAAATTATTCTATATTTATAAAAAATAAAATTGCCATGCATAGCTATGCACAAGCATAGGGAATATAGGGCTAGGCTAGAGTGATGTAAAAATAAGTCACACCGAGCAACTTTGAATCTTGTGGGTGTAAATATATTTAAAATTTACAGAAAATTATTGAAAAATAATGAGTCCGAAGTAACAATCAGCGGTAATAAACGAAAATGCAAAATTATCAAAACCCTCTGAGAATTTTTATTTGAATTACTTTTAACTAATTTTTACCCCGTAAAACATTCATGTATCATGAAAAAAGTGTTTTCTCAATGATTGCTTCCTAATGAAAGAGGCTCAACGACAGGCTCGAAAATGAAATTTTCAACTACACGTCTGATAATTTAATTTACATCACTGTAAACTAGATTGCGTAAGTCCAAAAAACGTCTTACATTGTAAATGAATTTAATTTGATTCAATATTTCCTAATCATTTTTTTCGTAGATATTTTTCGACTTATTTTACAATTCAGTACTTATATTTATGGCTGACGTTTTCATTCTATTTATTGAGCCGTCATTCAATAACTCGATGACGACACAGAAAATCAATCAAAACAATATATTTGAAGCTAAGCTAAGTTATTGTTTATTAGCAATCTCTTGTCTCGTGAACGATCAATATTTATTTGTCAAAGTAGCATTTATAGTAGAAAATTTTATAATACAGGAATAAATCGTACTAAAACATGCTTATTTTTTATGATGCGTATACATATCGAACGAGCTCTCGGCACAATTATCCCGCCAGTTTACCCAAGAGATTTGCTCGTTCACTCTCTTTTTAGCTGAGTGATTGATGCTTTCTTCGGAGCGAGAATACATACAACGAGAAAAGACGATTTTCTTCCGTTCAAGTTACGAGACGAGTAGCAGTAATATATACAACGAGAAGTTGCGCATAAAAATCGAACGATTATTTTCTTCGCTTTTTATATAGCACTGAGACAGAGAGGCAGAGAGAGGCAGAGAAAGAGAGAGAGAGAGAGAGAGTCAGAGAGAAAAGCTCGTCAACTTTGCGTTCGTCACAACTGTCCTTTATGTCGCCGATGCGGGTACATTCGTATATAATGTGCGCGACGACCTTCCCAATTGTTCTTACTCGAGTAATCGTTATCTAAAATTTCTCTACCCACGTAACATTACGTACACCCACGCGCAAGAACGCGCCTGATTAATTTTATCGTTACGTTATACACGCTTGAATATAAATCACAGACCCTACAGCCTCCAGAAAGTGAAAAATCACCGAGCCGTGAAAAAACGTATGCGCATACAGATCTTACTCGCCACCTCGAGCGCTAATGTGCTGCATCTATTTCACGTTGGATGTACGTTGAGAGAAGCAGCCCGAGGGCTAGCACTACCGCTACTACTGCTCGCCACTGCATATACTTGGCCGATAAAAACTACGCCGACGCATCCTCTTTATACCGAGCACTTTTTTTTCTTACTTTCATTTCATTTCTATTAGATAAAGCTCAATTCGAGCTTTCTCTCTCTCTTTCTCTCTCTTTCGCGGCGGTCAATGTTGATTTACTAAGATTAGATTGAAAGTGGCTGTATGTATGTGTGTGTGTGTGTGCTTGGGTTCGAGCGTCAAACTTGAGCTTTCATGACACTGCGGCGATGTGTGCGCTGCGATTCGAAGCTATTTCTTTTTCTTCTTCTTTTTTTTTTTATTGCGCGGCGATCTGTTAATTTAGAAAAATCTTGATTTTCATTAAAAAAAAAAGTAATCTCTCGTAACGCTGCGAACGATTGTTCGACCGTAATGAGTACTCAGATGGTATCTCGTTCAACAATGGTCATGTAATAGTTTCTTTTGAAACATTTATAAAAATAAATAAAAATAAATTGTAATTCGTACAGCTTACAACAGTACCAAAACTAGATAATTTCTTGAATTGCTGTCGGAGCCCTATTTTATACACACCTTCGTACTGGGGGGTGGGGATAAAATAGAGAGAGAGAGCTTGGAGAACTCCAAGCTTTCGTACACCGTAGAAAAGCTCCGGGGCGCATTATTCGTCGCGCTTCCTTCGCGTTCGGTTCGGAAGACTGCCGTGATCGTCTCTCCTTTTTAAGAGCTTTTTAGTGCGCGATTTTTTCTCGGACCCAGGAACTATCCACGTATACAAAACTACAGGCGAAAAGTCATGAGTGGTTCGGGCAAGGGTCTGCTGGGCATGTGGCTCTATCGCCGCGACGAGGAGTGGACCGTCAAGGAGGGCAGTCCTCTGCACAAGAGTCGCGATGTAGGTACACGACTCGATTTTAATTGCGGAGTTTTTTTTGTTGTTGAAGTGCGTGCATGACTCGTGCGATTACTTGATATTTTGGGAAAATAATAATAACGAGTGCTTATCTTCATACATGGCTATAATCGTGCGAATGACGCAGGTACCGATGCACGAGAAGGTGGCCAGCGGCGACACGAAAAATTCTGTCGTCTTCTCGCTGAAAAATCAAATCGGCGGCCTGGCGCGGGCGCTGCAAGTTTTTCAGGTACGTTTATACGCGACGAAAAAACAGTGCGATCAGTGAGTTTTTCCATTAAAATTTGCGGGAACCTTTCTCTCTCTCTCTCTCTCTCTAACATCTCGATCGATCCCGTTCACGCAGGACCTGGGAGTGAACGTGGTGCACATCGAGTCGCGCAAATCCATGCGTCGCGGCTCCGAGTACGAGATCCTGGTGGACGTTGAGTGCGACGGCAAACGCATGGAGCAGCTGACGCGCATGCTGAGCCGCGAGGTGGCCGCCATCAATCTGGCCCAGTACGAGGAGATCGGCACCATGCCCCATCATCCGCCCTTGTCGGCAGCTCCGAGCTTCGGTGAGCGAGATCTCGCTCGTCTCATTTTTTTTTTCTACTAGTTATTTTTTCGTTTTTTTCCCCGCGTAGATTTCAGCGAGGTCGACATGGTCTGGTTCCCGCGTAAAATCGCCGACCTGGACAAGGCGCAGAAGGTGCTGATGTACGGTACCGAGCTGGACGCCGATCATCCCGTGAGTAATCGTATTCGTTTATCCTTAATCATGTTTATGCACAAGGCTTCGACTGTTTTTTCGAAAATTTTCAAAGGGTTTCAAGGATCCTGTTTACCGCAAACGTCGCGAGCAGTTCGCCGACATAGCTAATAATTACAAATAGTAAGTTTTTTGATATAACAACACATTCGCGATCCCTGATAGAAATGCTCAACATTCTGTGACCAAATTTTGTCCAATAAAATAATTTGTTCGACATAAAAGGATCATTAGAGAAGTACTGTTTAGCTAAATATGTATTGAAGTCAAAGAACATAAACAAGTGAATACGATAAAACTGTGCTTTGACTTATACCATTATATTGATTTTGCCACTTGCAGATTTATGGAAAATTGTACTTGACACCTAGCGGTGAAATCTTAAAGTTGTATTATCGCATCAAAATCTTAATATCCGATTGTTACTGTAAAATCGTCAAAATAAATAGACCAATAATTAAATTTTAATACACTTCAAATGGCTATTTGTTATGGTAATCGAGCCATTATTAATATTGAGCATCTGTACATCAGGAATCCAAGCGCACGGATTATTCATTTTTTTTCTAATCGATATATTTTTCCCGCAGTGGTATGCCGATCCCGAAAATACAATACACACCCGAGGAGATAAAGACCTGGTGAGTATGACAACGCGATACGAAGAAGAATGAAAAAAAAAAACGACTCGCGCTCTCACTGACTGTAATTACGCATAGCCGCGTATACCGTACGCGTGCGAAATTGCGTGGGCCGGCGGATGCAGCGTATATGTATTTAAGAGAACGTCGACAGTTCGTGTTTCCGTCTTCATGAAGTCAATCTACCGCTGCCAAGTTTGCTCCCGAGTTCGCCCCCGTCCCCGCCCTCGGCCTTTCCTCGCTCTTCTTCCTTTTCTTTTCATTCTTTCTTATTTTTTCAAGCTCTAGCTGGAGAGGAAGAGAGAGAGAGAGAGAGAACTGCGAGAGTTTGTCGAAGCTCTTGAATGCGAACCTAATTGCCCTGATTTGATTCTTAGACGCAACGCCGCTGCAAGTTCGTGTATATATATACGGACCGATACGGATCTATATATAGGTAGTTGCACTGCACACGGACCGACACAAGGATATATAATCCTTCGCACGTCGCGAGCTACGCGCGCGATCGACGTATATCTATATAGTTTTTTAGTAATCGCAAGAAAAGCTGCTGCGTACGGCGATCGATACGTAATTCGCGATTCGTTTCAAACAGGGGGACGATATTTCGCGAGCTGCATCAGTTGTATCAGAAGCACGCCTGCAAGGAGTTCCTGGAGAACTGGCCGAAATTGGAAAAGTATTGCGGATACAGGTACGAGCTGAGGCACTCGTTAAATTTCATAATACGATGACGATCGTTCGAGCTTCATTTTAAATTGTCTTTCTTTTCTTGCAGAGAGGACAACATCCCCCAACTGCAGGACGTCAATGTCTTTCTTAAGAGTGAGTTGGCTCATAATTTTTATTTTTTTGTTACAATTGATAAACAATTCAACGTACAACCCTTCGCTTCGTGGCTTTACAGAGATGACGGGCTTTCAGCTGCGACCGGTCGCGGGTTACCTGTCGCCACGGGATTTCCTCGCCGGCCTGGCTTTTCGCGTGTTCCACTGCACGCAGTACATACGCCACTCGTCCGATCCGTTCTACACACCCGAGCCGTGAGCGAAATAATTATTTATGCTAAATACATTATATATCGTCCTATTATTGAGCGCACGCCGATGCAATATTTTTGATACCGTTTCGTTTCGATCGATGCGCCGCAGGGATTGTTGTCACGAGCTACTGGGCCATATGCCGCTGCTGGCGAACCCGAGCTTCGCCCAATTCTCCCAGGAGCTGGGACTGGCCTCGCTCGGCGCCGCCGACGAGGACGTCGACAAACTCGCAACGGTAAATTCATCATTACGTATATCCATCTATTATTTAAAAAAAAACATATTTATAGAAAATATTGATCTTTCCAAAACACTCGCATGGATTACGCGTATGAAGGAATCGATGACCCAAACTCGCAATATGTATAGTTCGGTCGGAGTCGGTGAATTCGGCAGTTACGATTAGAAAGTGGAATTCGAGCGGAGTAGGGAAACAGTCATTATTGCCGAGTCATCGCGTTATACATCTCTCGTGTCTTTTATTAAACTTCTGTGCCACACAACGTGTTCTCTACTCTCGTACATATGGTCAGTATACGTTACGACGCGGCACAGTGAACCGGTCTGGAAAAATCGTATCGACCGCAGCGAGTTATTTTCGTGTTTGTCTCAAAAATACAAAGTATCTCGAATCAGCATTGTGCGTATGTTGTGCGCGAGTGAGCGCGCGGAAAAATGTTCGAGTCCAGTGACGGATTCGATGGAGAAGAAAAATTGAAGAGCATACGAGAAAGTGTCAATTGGGAGATCGAAGATGAGCGACGGGCATTTGTCTGGCAATTTTACCGTTTGATCTGCAATTGGAAGGCACAACTCCCAAATCTTCGAGAAATTTATCAAAACGATGAAATAGATTGGGTGATAGCGGAGTGCGTGAGAGAGCTGAACTACCAAAAACCGGGCATCCCGTACGAGGCAAAGTTTCAACTCATTGATTTCGTGGCTCGTACCGGCTACAAATACAAGCCCGAGCTCGACGAACGCGGCGAGCCGTTGCTGAATCAAACCACCGCGATTCATCGCGCGGCCAGAAACAGATGCTTCTCCGTCTTTCCGGTTCTCTTTGAAATATACGACGGGCACGACGCGAATTACATGGACGTCGAGTCGGGCCTGACGCACTTCCACGTGGCCTGCATGTACGGCCGCGAAGACGTCGTTGAGAAATTCCTCCGGCTCGGCGACGAACGAGGCCAGCCGTTGCAGCTCGACGCCATGCGGGACAATGAAGGTAAAACGCCGCTGTACCACGCCGTATCCAACGGCCACGACAGGATATACGAGGAGCTGTTGAGACGAGGAGCCGATCCGAATTCGGCCGATGCGCAAGGCCGGGCAGCTCTGTACAATTTGTGCCATGTCCACGTGATCGAGAGGTTTTTGGAGCTCTGCGACAAGTTCGATCGGAGGGTGCGGATCGACGCTCGGGACAATGAAGGTAACACACCGCTGCACTGGGCAGTGCACGATAACCACAAGAAGGAGGTGGCCGAGCTGCTGCTGAGACTGGGAGTCGATCCGACCCTGGTCAATGCCGAGGGAACGACAGCTCTGCACGTCGTTTGCGCGAGATACAACGACGATTTTTACCCGTCGATGTTGCTCGAGTACGTGAAGGAGAAATGGAAGTCGACTTACGTCAATGCCGAGGACGATAAGAGCAACACACCGCTGCACCTGGCGCTGGACAATAACCACAGGAAGGTGGTCGAGTGGCTGATTAGACAAGGAGCCGATCCGACCACAGCTAATATCGAGGGATCGACACCTCTGCACGTCGTTTGCACGAGATACAACGACGATTTTTACCCGTCGATGTTGCTCGAGTACGTGGACGAGAAATCGAAGCCGTTGTTTGTTAATGCCCAGGACAATGAGGGTAACACACCACTGCACTTGGCGCTGGACTACAATCGTACCCGTCTGGCCGAGTGGCTGATGAGAAACGGCGCGAATAGAAATTCGACCAATGCCAAGGGGGAGACTCCTCTGCACGTCGCTTGCAAGCATTACCCCGCTAGACACCTGGTGAGTGCGTTTTCTCGAGTTAACGCTCGGGACAAGGAAGGTAACACACCGCTGCACTTGGCTCTGGACAATGGCTTGATCGACACGATTGAGTCGCTGCTGAGAAACGGCGCGGATCCAAATTTATCCAATGCAGAGGGACGGACACCTCTGCACGTTGCTTGCGACAGAGTCGTCAAGGACGATAGCTTGATAGATCTGTTTTTCAAGGTCAACGACGAGTTGAATCGGACGGTGCGCGTCGACGCCCGCGACGACAAGGGCAACACAGCCCTGCAATTGGCCGTGGAAAATGTTTTTCCGTCCGCGGTCGATGTTCTCTTGAATCGCGGCGCCGATCTGACCGAATTCGTTTTTCCCTCGGCGACGTGCTTGATCGATAAATTTCGTGCGAGGGTGAGCTCTATCTTTTACGTTTGGTACGAAAGTAAATTAAGACTAGTGGTCAGCGCGCTGATGTGCGCCGAGCGTCTCGAGGTCGCAGGATACCGGCTGGACCGAAGCGCCGCCCTGACGATCATGAAATTGTTCGCCGAGTACGAACTGTTCGAGAGATCGCCGTCGGACGATCAGCAAAAACTGTTGTGCGACGACGCGGTGTTCGTGTACAAAGCAAAGCGAATAATGACGAAGCCGAACCTGTCTGTCTACGATCTGGTTCGATTGAAACCCGAGGAGGAGGATGAACTGCTCACGTACGCGGACTACTTCGATTTACCGGAACGATTGCGGGTTCTCTGCGGCTACCCGTATGACATTAGCCGTTGTGCTTTGCATCTGTGGGAAAAGATGTCGAGAGGATTTTTCCAGCGCTGGACGTTGGATCCTTTTAGGGAGCTGATAAATTACCGGCTGCCTCTTGAGTTCTGCGAGAAGATCCTCGATCGGCTCGCGAACGAGGATTTATTTAACATTTGCTTGGCGGCTGCGGGTCAGAACGCGTGATGGCGATCCGCATGTTTGCGGTATTTTTTTTATTTTGTATTATTTAATATAATGTTACATATTTTTCATACATCATTTAAATAAATTGATCGATTTAAAAAAGCGAGTTTCAATTTTTCTATGGACAAAAACACAATCATTTGCCATGACCAACCGCTAGGTGGCTTACTTACAGTTTTCAGATAACCCCTATACAAAGTAACAAAGATCAGGAATTATAATTCTTTCGAATTTACAAACATTAGCAATATGGCTAAAAATTTGGACTGCTGGCTCGTTTGTATATTATGTTTTTGATTTTTCTTTAAAATCATTGAGATAATTAATAAAATCTTAAATATCATAGAGAACTCTGATAATGTTGGAGCTTTCTCAGCATGTTTATCATCTCTATTTACTCAATTATACTTGATTACCAAGTTCATGTCAACGAAAATTACTCTAATATTACTTTCGACAGATGCGTGGTTGCCTTGCCAATGTTATATTTTCAATCATCAATTCAATTTAATTATATAATTTTAAATATAGCTAAGTCATTCTATTTCAGAATTACTATTTGAGAAATAAAATTGTCAATTTCTTAAAAATCTATAAGCAGCTTTTTTGAGACTACTAGGTTTTAAAAAATTCGGCAAACGAATCGATGCAATTAAAAAACTTAAAAATCAATACATGATTCAATAAATCATGTAATCAAGTCACCATCGGCAAAAGTGTTTACTCGTGAAAAATAAAAGCTCAAACTCCACTCGTTCGCTCGCATGCAGCTGTACTTCTTCACGGTGGAGTTCGGCCTGTGCAAGCAGGACGGTGAGCTGCGCGTCTACGGGGCGGGTCTGCTGTCGTCGATCGCCGAGCTGCGCCACGCCGTCTCGGCGCCCGCCAAGATACTGCGCTTCGAGCCCGAGGTCACCGTCCACCAGGAGTGCATCATCACGGCCTTCCAGAACGCCTACTACTACAGCGACAGCATCGAGGAGGCCAAGGAAAAAATGAGGTAAGCACGATTGTGCATCGCACTTTCGAATACACGCCGAAATCGATTTATTAAAATTTCACAGAGAATTCGCCAGCGGCATCAAGCGAGCCTTCGGTCTGCGCTACAATCCCTACACCCAATCCGTCGACGTGCTCACCGACGCCCAGAAGATCACCGCCCTGGTGAGCGAGCTACGCGGCGATCTCTGCATCGTCTCCAATGCCCTGCGCAAGATCCAGGAGCAGGACGAGAGCGTCGACGTCGAGCGCATCGCCAATCTCCTCACCAAAGGCTGCATCGCCAGCGGCAGCGGAAGCAGCTCACCCCCGTCCTCCTCCTCGGCGCAACAGCGAAGGAGGCAAAAAAACGACGACGACGATTCGGATAGTAGCAGTGACGACGACGACAGCGACGCGAGTCCGAATCGTGACGAGAAGCAGCAGGAAAAGCAGCAACCGATCCCCGAAGCCTCGTCGTCCTACAAGGCATAGTTGGCTTCTGTCTTTTCGCACTTCTGCTGATACATATCGCGTCGATTATTCGATTGATTGATTTTAATTGCAATTGCAGCGTGACTTATATCATTATTATATTAGATTATAAATGTATAGAATATTGTATCGTTGGTTCACGTCGCGATCATTACGGAGATGTAATGGGAATTAAATATGTATAGCTTATTATGTTATAGCCATTAAACGAGGGTCCAATATTATTAAATAATATAATACAGATGTAAATTAAATATTTCTGATATTAAACGAGTATATTGAATGTCATATTGTAATTCCAACGATCCGATTATTATATTCGACTATCATATTCAAATTATTATATAGTGTATAACCGATTTCAGCTTGTCCAGCTAAATAATATTATGAAAAATACATTGTGTACATCTAATTAAAAGAAATCGTTATTGTCATTCAATCGATCGTTGACTCGTTTGCACCTTATAATTTATCACCTATTGACCTTTAATTTATTTATTCGTCTTAATTTTATTCCAATATTATTTGCCACAATTAATCTTGAAGAAGTTTCACATCTTACAGTTGTTCTCATGTAGCTGCTTATTCATTTAAAAATAAGTTCGTTTTTTTTCATTCTGTCGTAGCATCGTAATATGTCCATCCTTTATAATAATTATAAAAAATCAACTCAAGTAATATCCATTTTATTATTATATTACAAATATCTGTACAGAATTCTGAAATTGACATTTGACACTGGTCGCGAAGCTTGAGCAATCGAACGTGGCGCGCCGCCACTGCTCCTCCACGTCTGGCTGGCTGGCTGCCGCAGTCTGCGCGCGATGAATCCTACAACACGTCAAGCCGCGCGCGTACAGTGCAGCATTGTATACATACACATCTACCTCTTCAATATACCTGCCACACTATATAGATACATGTCAGTTCAACAACCACCTGTGGCGTAGATATAGGTGTGCGCGGATACGACTGTATATAATAATATGTAAATCTCTGCGTGGGAATTTTTTTCTCCATTATCAATCCCTCGGGCTTCCACCTTTCGATCTTGTTGTTAATAGAGCTGCGTTGCGATTAATAGCATCTTCGAGTTGGAATTTTTTGTACGCGATTGCGCGAGTTTATTATTGTGATAACGGGGACTGCTCCGACTCTTGGTAAACAATCTTTGTTTACGTTACACATGGCGTCTGCTCTACCTGGTACATTGCCTTGCATCGACGTGCCTTTCATTTTTTTTTAATCCTTTCGTTCGTAGATCGGCACGCACAGCTGTTAGTTTGTATATTAATTAGCACGTTTAGCGGCCGATTGACTTCGAAAAAATGCAAAACTCGAGAGAAATGGCGCAAATGCCCAAGAACGGCGTGGACGGACTGCCAAAGAATTTCATAAGTGCAATGAGGACTCTCTTTGACATAATGGACGATCATCACACTGGTCAGTCAATGAGATACATTTGTTACTGCTTATTATTAAATTAGATGTCGATTCGCATTCTGACCACTCTTATGTGACAGGCTACGTCAACTATGCAGACATCGAGACTCGATGGCGCGACGATGAGTCCTCTGGATTACCCAAAGGAGTTCTGGAGTGCATAAAGAAAGTCACACCCCCCAATGGTCTTTTGACCTTTGATAGATTTTGCGCAGGCTTAAAATTGGCCCTGTCACATACCCAAGCGATGAACGATGCCAAGCAGCTGGATCCAAATCAACCAAACAGGCCACCATCAGCACCTGTACTCGAGAGCCAAGCTAAAAATGTTTGGATTTCTCCAAACACTGCTGCTATCAGACCAAATAATATAATATCTCAGCAGAGGACGCTCAGCATGCCACAGTTGCCTGGAAGAAAGGAAGTGAATCATCAGCCTTTCGATGTAGATGTTAGAATTTCAACAGAGCCAAAACAAATCAAAGGTAAGCAAATTCTTTACACTTTTTTCTGTTTTTAAAACAAAATTATCATTGTTTTTATTGTTCGGTAGTCTATGGTCCACCAAAACCTCCACGTACTGGTGCAGCTTTAGATAATAGAATTTTAACTGGAGATAGAAATTTTGATAAATCAGAAATCAGAACTGCGCTTCAAAATTGGCAAATAGGTGTAATGATGGGAACAGATAAGAATTCTGATAAGCGTCAAATACCTGGAACAAAGTGGTCACCTAATACTAATAATATGATGTATCCAATTCGTGATATGGGAGATGGTAGAGCTGTTGATGCTCAATCTTCACATCAGTTAGCCATGCAAATGCAGAAAAAAACTACAAATCGCAGAAGAGAGCCAAGGAGGCATACTTTACAAAATGGTATAGATTATAATATGGTGAGTTTTTGTTTCTAATTACTATATTAGTATACTTACCATATAATCACAATTATACAAAAATTAATACAAATTTTTATTTTCAAAAGATTAAAAAACTTAAACAAATAGAAGAAGAGAAAGAAGTACTACTCATGGGATACAATGCTGTTGAAAAAGCAAGAGAATGGTATCTGAAACAAATTTCCTTCGTTCAAGAAAAAATGAAACAAGTAGAAATAATGGGATCACATGTAGGATAATTATTCATATTGGAAATGTTTATTTTATAAAAGTGGAAAATCATGTCTTTATTTTTTACATAACTAGGAACCATGGTCTGGAACACAAATGGAAAAATTGATGTTGCAACGAGCAAGAGTGGTAGAAGCCAACAGACATTTAGCAACATTAATAGCGACATGGGACAAAGGAGGCTTACCACACATGAATTTAGAATTCATGAGTTATCCAGCGACGAATCATCAATACCAGCAAGACATGCTGTCCAGATTGAAGCAAAAAAATCATCGACTAACGGAGGTTTGTGCATGCATCTCAGCTTTCTCGATGTCGCGCGTAAAGTTTCGACTCGTCGATCAACTTGCACATCTCGTTTACAGGAGGTCAATAAAAAGAGCCACCGAATAGCTTTGCTGGAGCAAGAGAAGGACAGCCTGATGCGAGAGCTATACGATCGTCATCAGAGCGGTGTAATCCAGTCTCGGAGATCGACGATGATACACGAGCAACACGATCAAACATTCATGTGAGTGTAACGTAGACAAAACTGCACGTGTGCATACGATATGAGCACTCTGATAAAACGTCTTCAATTTCTTTTTTTTCTCAGAATTTAGCTGAACGCTTGGAAACGTGCAATACATAGAGAAAGGGAATCAAAGATTAAGCCACACGCGTCGAGACTGACTCAGGCTAGTCGAACTGCGTGTGCTTGCGTTGTTTTATTTTATTTTTTTAAACTTTTTTAATCAAAGTGAATAAGTCTGTAATCTTAATATTTTACTTCGAGTCGAGTAATAATTAATTATTATTAATTTAAAAAAAATTATAAGTCGTGACTAATCCAATGTAAACCTTAAGCGAGTCGACGTTTTATAACCAAACGCTGTGAAATCATCCGATCCATTTTTTGTACTTAATTGTTGTATCGTACTTTTAGCAATTATTTTTTATCTATTTTACGTATTTCAAATAATTGTTTCGTTGCCCATACATATTGACATTATTTATATATATTTATATACGTTTTGCAATTTTTTTGTGAATAAATTATAATTAGCGCCATACACAATGTGAGATTGGGTTTTTCTTAAGAAACAAAGGAACATAAAGCGCGCTTGGCTGAAAAAGCTTTTCGAATATTTCGATGGATAAAGCGCGAAACACTGACTTGTCTCTCTCTCTCGCTCGCTCTTGTAAGAACGGAAATAAAGCAGCAACAGCAGCAGTGGAGAAGAGCATTCGACGTACAGATAAATACATTCAGCATGTGCATGAATTACGCACTCCTAAAAGAAAACGAGAGAAGCCAATGGCTGATGCTGATGCTGCTGCTGCGCTCTCGAGACTCGATAGAGATGCGTGGGACATCATCATCATGCGTTATTATATGTGTATAAAAGGCCGAGAGAGGGTTTAATATCACGCATCTGGCTAATACGATGCCTCGTGTTGGTATAAGCGACGACGCCGTCGCCGCCGCTAGGCTTTTCAGTCGTGTTACGCGCCTCGCCGAGTGCTGTTGTTATTTTATATTAAGAGACCAAACGACTCCGCCGAGCTTTCGATCAAATCGTTCGGTCGCGTGAAAATAGAAGAAGAAAAAAAGGGAAATCGTTCACGCACGAGGATCAGTCGCGCGTAAACGTCGATGATCGTTTGAAGCTCTCTGTATTTCTCGCTTTATCGAGGCAAGTACATAATTCGTCGTTTAGGCATTTTTTTTGTTCTCCTTTGTTTGTTTCTCTTACTGTGAAAAAATTCAACGAGAAAGCTCGCACGCTCTTCAAAGCTCTCAAATATTTATTTTTTTTTTTTTTTTATTTAAATGGATTATTTTTGGTAACGCTCGTCGCCGATCTCGCACTCGCAGTTTTCGTTTTATCACGCTCAACGGGCATATTTATTTCAGAAATCTTTTCGAAGTTCGACGATCTCCGCACTAGCTCGCTCTTCTTTGTGTCGGCCGACCAAGAAGTCTTGTGAAATTTGACAACGCCGAAGCAACCATGAGGGGACCAATTCTGCTTCTTCTTCTCGTTGTAACAGGTATTTATAGATATAAAAGGCGAGCTTATGGAGAGAGAGAGAGAGGCTGCGCGGCTTTTATATCATACGTATCTATATCTGCTAACGATACTCGCGCACGACGCGATGCCGTGACGAGAGAGAAGCACAAAATTTTAGATCGCGAGATTTTTTTGCGCGCTCACGCATAAATAATAATACAATCGCATCCGGGCGAATCTCCTTATTTTATGCATAAATAAATGTGCCATTGGCATCGCGCGTACACCGTCTTATCGTTTTTATGCATGGAAATGTTTATCTGCGCGACTTTTCGATTGTGTGTATTATACGCACGCATGGACATGTATTCAAAACAAAGGGAGAACGCAACTTCGGAGCCGAATAAATAAATATTGCCGTAATTCTTTAATCTCTTTCTCTCGACGCTTGAAAATTATCAAAGATGTGTTTTTTGCTCGAGATCGCGCGCGCGCGCTCGAAATGATTAATACAGCCTCGAGAGAGGCTGAGAGAAACGTATAACATAAAAGCACTGTATCTCGCATGGGCAACATCCGGACTCCATCTGGTTTCCACATAAAAACTCTTTTTCATCGTTATCGACGCGCGAGTTTTGCTCTTCCGTACGAATAAATGTATTCAGCGTATTTTGCACGCGAGGCGCCCTGCGAGTTTTCATCGGAGAATGCATAAAACGCGATATCTCGTCGCCGGCGTCGTCGTCGTTGTGCGTTATCAACGAATGAAAATTCTCACACTCTTGCGCGTTCTCTCCCTGCAGTTCTTCAGATCGAGGCCTGCGAGGTCGAGAAGATGGGCAACGGATGCCGAATAACCAGCGGGCAGTGCGCCTGCGGCTACGGCTGCAAATCCGAGTACAGATACGCCACCCTCGAGGAGTGCAAGCTCGCTCTCAACGGTAAAAAAAAAAACCAAAAAAAAATTAAAGAAAAAAAACACTCGTTGATCGATTGAATTTTGTGCAGGACGGAGACGCAACGCCTGTCACAGCCAGACGAGGTGCCTGCACGGCGGCACCTGCCTCCAGATCACGGCCAATCCCGAGTACAAGTGTCTGTGCGAGGGCACGGGCTACTTCGGCTATCGATGCGAGAAGGGTGAGTGTCAATGAACGACGACGATGACGATGCGCGTACAACATATAATATCTGAGGCTTATCTTTCGTTTCTTTTTTTTTTCTTTTTGTCATATTCTGTTGCAGCTTGCCCCGGACGAGACAATCCGAATTACAAGGGACCCTTCCCGCTCGAGTGCGTCGTCATATAAGAGAAAGAAAATATAAGATATAGCGTCGATTACGTTCTACATTACTCATTACTTTCTTTTTTTATGTGTTTACTTTCATTCCGCGCGTATGAATTTTTTTTTGTGGTTCGTCGTAAACTCGAGTAATCTCAAGGCTAAAACAAGAGGACTCTATTGAACTCCACTATAGTAATAAAATAATCATTTTGTACATATTGTATTATCGCGAGAAGAAGACGTAATGATATAGTTTTTTTTTATTCTTCTTCTGCTTCTTCTTCCGCGTCGATGAGAAAATAAATATCTACAATTAAAAAATCATACATTAGGAAGGAGAGTGTTTTGATCTTGGAATTGTGAACAAAAAAAATATTCCTTGACAAATTTACCTTATCAATTTTTCATGCTTCCAATGTTTATTTACCAAAGGATAAATTTTTATACAATACGTTTCTTGCTGTTCCTTTCGTATGTTCGCTTTCGATTTTTTTAGTCTTTTTTTTCGTTTTCTCTATACGGCATGAACATTATTGTAACAAACTTTTCGTTTCGTTTTAATCATATTACCTGATTGATTCATAATTTAGCACTTATTTTGCGCTCGTTTCTTTTTTGTTTTGTTTAAAACTATAATTACATCGGAAATGTGATCAGAGTTTTTCGTTCCGCGTGCGCTAGCGTAACAGTTTCCATGTCTTGGACTTTCTCAATTGTACTGCATGCAGGCAAAACAATGATCATATTTCACATCATTAAAAAATGGCTTCACAAATGATAAATTTTCTTTTTCGTTCGAATTCATTCCTATTTTTTTCATCTCGATCACCAGTATATTTTAAAATACACTTTAACGCAGTACTTGACGAAACAGTTTTCATAGAATGAACGAAAAAAAGTAATTTTGATTAATTTCGTTTTTTTTACATAGCGACAGATCAAATTCGTTTGAAAGGCTCTTTCCTGCCTCAGTCGCGTGCTTTATTAAACGCACTCACATACAATTTATGCTAATACAATTTTTCACCATCACATTACTTCAATAAGAACAAATAAGATTTTCAAACGAATGTCCTTTTCACCTACTCTTTTGAATAAAAATACCACACTTAGTATAGTTATATGAGGTAAGAGTTTCTAGCCTCACATCTTTTTTGCTCTAAAATTGGTGCCACAAGTAAATATTCTCAATTCGTTTTCTTTACACTTTATACCATTCATGTATATTAAATTATTATTCATTTGTCTTTTTTTTTATCAATAGATGTTGCTATAAAAAAATTGTTCAAAGAAATCATAAAACGTAAAAAATATTATCAACATGTACGTATATTTTTATAAAGACAAAAAGGACAAATAGCCTCTGTCGCAAAAATTACAAACAGACACGACTTGAACAGCGACTGACTTGTTTTCAGAAAGAACAATCACATATTCTAGTGATGGAAAGTATGTGTCGCGCTTTAGTGCATACTAACAATCATGTTACTTGCTCTTTTGTATTCTCACATTTTTTTTACTGACTTAAAACGCTACATCACTTTTGTAATCTGCAAAAAAAACCTTACGTCTGGCGATTTGACAAAAATAATTAACAATATTTCATCAACGTTTCTTAGCGATTTATAAATTAATTTGATAACTACAATGTATGTGTGTGTTCGTTTTGAGTGTGTAGTTTTCGGCTGAACGTTTAAGCGTTACATTTTTTATAAAAGAAAGGTATTTTATTGAAAAAAATCTTTCTTGGAAATAAAAATAAAAAATATATTTTAAACTCGTGTTAGAATTTTCAATTCTGTTACAAAAACGAAAAATTTTTCACGAATTTTTTTTCAAGTTTCTCAAATATTCGCGTACTTTTCATATTATTTGAATCAAAAATAACAATGAAGTTCATTAATTACAATAATCGTAATAATCTTTTTGTTACCTACACGTGCAAAAAACAAATGAGGTATGTAGTATATGGGTAAGAGTTATGTATACATAATCGGGTAGTGAAATTATTGTTTTTTTTGTTTATCTCTGTGGATCTGACCCCCTTTCGATTATAAGATCGGTTAACATTATTCGTCGATGGCACCTGGGTTACGTACAATTCTTTCTTGACTAAAACCGCGAGTTCCATCTGGACCCTTTGGTTGCCTGACTACGGTTAATTTTGGCCCGTTATCCTCCAGAGACACGGTGCGTAACTTGCTGATCAATCGTTCTGGTCGTTGCTGCACTGTGTCACTACAATAATAAGAATACGAGGGTAATTATTAGGTAATTGAAAAAAAAATCAAATGGAAAACACAGAGAAAAAAGGAGAAACTCACTTGAGTCGCTGCACATTGCAAGCGGAGGATTTGCCAGAACGTTGGTTAGTGACAAGCACGAATTCGACTTGGTCACCGGGCTGCAGTTTAGCATTATCGCAAACCTCGCTCATGTGGAAGAAAAGTTTCTTGCCCTCGTCGACCTCATAAGCCAAAAATCCAAAAGGCCCTTTCACGGCGTCGACGGTTGCGCGACGTTTCTTCCTCACGGCTACGATATTGCAGGCGTGGCCCTCGCTGTCCAATTGGAACTGCACCGGGTCGCCCGATTGCAACAGTTCGCGCTTGTTCGCCAATCCCATTATTCCAAACTCGTATTCGGGCGTCTCTTCGTTCTCGTTCGTGGGATTGACTTTGATCATGCCGGCGTACTCGACTTGCTCTGGATTGGCACTGCGCAACGGCCTGATGACTGTGCCGTCGAGCACCTCGCTCTCAACTTTGGCCCTCGGTATGCTGCCCTTGGGCAGCAGACGCACCGTCTCGGCGGCGGTGCAGCCACCGATGATGCGACTACTGTTGTTGCCAGTGCCGATCACGCATTCAACGTCAGCTCCCAATTCCAAAGTGCTTGCGTCTCCCTCGAAATTGCTGCAATCAATGAGAAATTCAATGAGATCGTTGCATCATCGTTGCTGCGTTTATTTATTTTTTTTTTTTATCGATGACTCACCTAAAATGGAAAAATATCTCTTTATCGTGATTAACAGTTTCGATGAAACCAAAGCCATCTTTCAGTGCAGCAACGAATCCTTGCACTGTTGTCTTCTTTGTGCCGTTTTGCACCTTCTCCCCTGTAAGACTGAGCAGCGATATGTCTACAGCGACAAGCTCTTTGTTACTTTTGACCTGGCAGATACTGAATTGAACCTGAGCAAAAAACATTTTCATTTCAAGATTCATTCGCAAGGTTTCATATTGAAATCGAATCAACGCAACTCACCTTGTCATTGAGTTTTGGAATAATTTTTGTAATACAGTCTTTTGAAAAGAACATGATGGTTTTTTCCACGTCATCTTTTTGATAACTAATGAATCCTCGCTCGGTTCCATTGGTTTCTTCGACTACCTTTCCCAGTACATCGATCTCAATTATACTTTCAAAAGAAACACTACCTTTCGGTAAGTGCCTTAATCTAATAGCACTGAGTCGAGAGTTTGCATATGATGACGAAGGATCCTAAGTTCAGGATTAAAAATCATTAACTTGCTAACATGAACACGGTGGTTCGTGAATTCACACTATTCACAAACTTTTATGTCTTACCTGAATAACAGTGAATTCAAATTCATCGCCAACGCTTATTTGTCTCTCAACATCTAGCACCTCTCCGAATTTGAAAAAGAGTCTGGGTTCGCGCTCGGCGCAACGAATAAAACCATAACCGTCCTTTAAAGCCACAATAACTCCTTGCTCACGTCGTTCACCGGACACGGAAAATGATTCGGGCAGTAACTCAATTTCGGTGGCTCGCTTCAATTGATCTCTCGTATCCGTAGCTATTCTAAACTGTACCCAGTCTCCGTGCCTGCAATTCGTACACGTAAATAAGCGACCTACTTCGCGCAAAGTGGAGAAAGAAATTTTAAGCAAGATACTGACTTCAGGGTAAAATCTCCTTTTTGATCTTTGTCACCAAACGAAACTTCAACCTCGGAATGATCGGGTGCTCTGTGACGAATGCGTCCTGTCAACGGCTCGGCTTGATGTCTGACTGGTGTGCTCTTGTCAAGCGGCTTCAAAACTTGTCCCTTGATAATTTCATCGCTAATTTCTTCAAAAACAATAGAACCTGGTGGCAACTTGGTTATATTACACGCTACTTCTTTGCCCTGAAAATTCATACATTTATTATTGAGATCTGGAACGAAAGAAAAGTATTTCAAAAGTCTTTTTACATTTCTCGTTTGAATAATGAATTCAACGTCGTCGCCAAGTTTCAATTCTTCCTTCGTAGATTTGGCTTCGCTAAAATGGAAGAAAATCTCCTTCACAACGTCCGCCCGCTCAATGAATCCGAAGCTCTCCTTCATCGAGCACACGACTCCGCGATACTGTACAGGATGAGCTGGATTCTCAAATCTGATATGGCAGGCTCCCAAGTTGCCGCTGCATAACAGACGAAAAAGAAAACGCAAGGTGATAAAGGCGGATTCGAGAGATGAATTATTAGATTCAAGTAGTATTGACGTTTACCGCTGATTTGTTGCAATTTGAAATGACACTCTGTCTCCGTTGCGTAGAGTCACATTTCCTTCGACATCGTCTTTGGTATAAGGTAGAAAAAAGCATTCACCTCTGTTCTCGTAACTGATTCGACCTTGAGAATCACCGTTCGACTGCAGCTCGGTCGTAACAGTGCCCATGACTCGTTCCGCACTCAAAACCTGCGAGGAAAAGCAAAGTAATATTTACAATAATAGCCTGAATCTAGTTTGAAGCCAATTATGTTACTCACCACTTCGGGAGCAATTTTGCTAACGATACTAGCGATGGGCTTGCCTGTTCTACGATCGTACGTCATTTCGAATTCCACAGGATCTCCGATTTTCAAGTGTTCAATGTTGCCACTAAATTGGCTAAAGTGAAAAAACAATCTTGCTTGTCTCTCGCAGCATTGAATGAACCCGTACGAGTGCTGTAAATAAATAAATATCATTTTAATCAGTAAAATTGGTTCAAGATGATTAGTTAGTACAATTAATTTAAATAATTACCAAAAGCTTTTCTATAATGCCCGTTTCCCTGGGACCCTGATTGCTTGTTTGTTCATTCGGCTGATAACTGGAGGAATTATTAGTCATAACTGGCTCTCCAGAATAATTTGTTTCAAATGCATTAAAATTGCCAATGGAAAATGTCGCAGAACCATTGCGAGGTGAAGTTTGTGCGCCAGATGAGTAGCTGCTGTTGAAAGACAAATTTTTCCCAGGCGGCGAGTCCATGAAGTCACCACCAAAGTTATTTGTACCATTGCGGTAGTTGTTGGCGCTTTGATGATTATGGCCACTCATCATTTTAGGACTTGGAATGGACATGGACTTGTACTCTAGGATTGCTGGGTCAGAGTTCATGATTGGCGACTGGAAATTCTTCCACTGAGGATTGCTGGACATGGCTCAAATTCTTCTTTTACTTCTTATTTTCTTGTTAATTGTTCAACGCTTATGCTTCTATCTCCTGCTAATTCTCTTATAGATTTGTTTAGCTTTAATTTTATTTGTCTCTTTGTCTTCTTCTCGTTGCGTTTGATGGAAATGATTCAGTCGAACTATATTTTCTGTCTTTAATACGCTGCAGGCCCTGACAAGCCAGTGAGCAGAGTTAGATTATTTATACTTATACTTAAAATTTTTTTAGTCTTTTCGATTATTTAAGTGTTAACATAGATATCACAGAATGGTTCTTGGTACCTTATATCTTTGTTTATGTATTTATCAACGACTTGCGTTTATGTGTCTGTCTAGTGATGAGAACTTGACAAAGAGGAAGAAAGGCTTCTTTAAAATGCCGCCAGAGAATTGATTTTTGTACTAAATTACCTTCTTTTTTTGCTTATTTGTAACTGTGAGTTTGTGGTTGAAGAAGATAATTGTTGCGTTGCTGCTATTTGATGACTATTTTATATTTTTTACGTATCATCGATACCATTCATTGAAGATGGTATCGACTGAGTAATAAGGCATACAACGCAATAACTCGTTGGCACGTGATGCTAGCAGGTTGTAGGTGTCTTGTAGATAATAATGCAGCAGCCTTGCTACAGATCTTTTACCGAATGTTATTTATGAATATGCAATGCTCTATTGATCTCTTCTTTGTAAATAACTGACTTCCTGAGAGCATGCAAAATTCCCAGCACAGAATGCATGTGTGCCAACGATAAAATACCCTCACTTTGCATGCATACGCAATACGCAATATTGTGAGAAGGCAATCTCTGTATTGCCTTTTATTCTTAATATTTTTCTTGTGTCTATATTTAACAATAAATACTTGCGTATGATCAAGAAAGGTTGAGAATTCAGGTAGAGTTGGTATGCGTTTTGTTGAAGTTGGTTGTGCCTTTTGGGTTCCCAAAGAAGGTACAAATAATAAACGTTAATCGAATAGAATAATGTTTTTGAAAGGATAAGGTGGTAGAAGTAGACTTGACAAAAATCCTCAGATGTTTTCAATGCGTGCTGAGTGTGGTTGTGTGCCGTACTTTTTTCTTCGAATATACATACATTTATCTACATATATTGTTGTATTCATATATGCCACTGCTTTCTTTGTTTTCTTCAAATTTTCTTGTAGATCAGTAATTGAAAGGTTGAATTTCTTGCTTTGGAACGAGAAGTGAGTTTCAAAAGTGTCCTAAACTAACATTAACACAAGCTGAAAAATAAAAAGAGACAAGAGTTTAGCTTTTTTTTTTTGGTTAAAACGCACAATAATATTTACGTAAACTAAACGTATCAAGGGAGGGGGGGCCCGACCGTAGATTAAAAAAAAAACGAAATAAATCGCCGTACGAACTTTGTGTAAAATTGCACGCGAGTTAAAAAACGTATTTGTAAACATTTAGAGGGGGGTCGTGGCCCAATTATTGTACACACGCACTGCGGACACTCACACTTCTAGTCTTAGATAATGCTGCTTATAGGCCAGCAACAAGAGAGATGCAGAAAATTTCGACTCGCCAGAGCGCGCACGTTTTGTCACCATTTGATTATCCGTGAATGAGAGAGAAAAAGAGATAGAGAAGGCAAAAAAGACGTGGGTTTTCGTCAAAGCATTAACTAATTCTACATCTCATTCAATTTGGTTCACTTGACCGTAGCAAGAATATGTACACACACGTATAGGGAGTAAAAGAGAGCACACTACACAGCACATACTATCGTGAAAGAAGAAAAGAGAGGACGTGCTCTTTCTCTTTCTCTCTCACTCTGTCTCATCACCATCGTATCTCTCTCTCTCTCTCTCTCTGTCTCGCTTTTTTCTCCATCTCTCACTCTTGGTGTGTGTCTGCGCTTAAATGCGTATGTGTACGTCTCTCTTTCTCTATCTCTTCACACACAAAGATACACAAACTCGATATAATAATATTTTTACTACACGCTTGAAAAAAAAAAAATAAATAAAGAACATTGAGCTCCGATTATGATGGAGAAGGAGAAAGAGAAAAAGAGAGAAAGAGAGAAAGAGAGAAAGAGAGGAGAGAGCAAGAGAACCAACAAAATTATTCTCTCTCTGTCTCGGGAGAGACGTTCATCTCGCATCGTCACATCGGCATTTTTTTATGTATCTCTCTTATTAAAGGAAAGGCCTGCAACAGCAGCAGCAGCAGCAGCAGTGAGTCACATACGCACAAAACGATCGCGCGTATCATACACATAGATATAATATGTGCATATATAACGTATGCACCACACGCACTGCAATATTGTAATTCACTGGTAATTGATGTGTCTCTCGCTTTCGCTCACGCGTGCACGATAAAATGCAGATATGCATCTAACACAGTCCCACGGATCCTCCGAAAATTACATACACGCCTGATTGAATTTTGCCGTTTTTCTTCCTGCAGTCATGGTCACGAAGAAGATATCTTAATAACACGAGTGAGATAGAGAGAGATGGATGTACATATATATATATATATATATATATATATATGTATATTTAATACGTGTATACATCCATACGCGTATCTACATATACAAAGATAGAGCGAAATAGGGAGTAGACCCGCAGTCTTGTACATTATAGCAGAGACAAACTGTATGTACGTATGTATATACATGCATGTATTGTATATAGCCACAATGTACAAGATATATGTACGCCAGGTTCGGAGTTCGACGGCTCGTAATTGCAATTTTGCGGGTCCGATCGGGCCCCGGGCCGCGTGTCGCGCACTTCCACGGCCGGGGGATATTGGGGCCTGGCGGGGTCGGCACTTTTCACGCGTTAATCCGGCCTAAGCCATCGTCACGGCGAACGGGAAAACTCACCACGACACAGCACAGCACTGACTACATGCCGCCATGTTGAATGTCAACATCCAGTAGTTTCTCATACACACGCAAAGGCCGCGACGTGCGCCTCTGGCGTGTTTCCATGTATTGGTGTCCGTGGTTGTGCGCGCGTGTGTATGTGTGTGTATATGCGCGTACGGTATATCATCTCTATTCTATATGTACAGATAATAATACGAGAGAGCCTCGGCGCAACTCCCTCCATGCGCACAGAGAGCCAGTGAACAGGCTTTTTTTCAGTTTACAGTCGGTCGCGTGCTGCAACTCCGCTGCTGGCCCTGCGCATATCACCGGTTTCCTTGAATTGGCGCGCGCGCACGTCATAAATGCATATTGCAATGACGTCGAGCGCGCAGATTGAATATGCATCTGGCCAAATGAGGGATATTGCAATAGGAAATTGGAAGCATTGGATGATTTGAAAAACGTTTGAATGACACAAATCGGCAGTTTTGATACTTAACAAGATTTATTGTATAAATGCACTTTTAAAGTACAGCTTTTAGTTTGTTTACACAAGTCGAATTTTTATGATCATGATAGTCAATATACTCTACATCTATTGATGCATGATTTTATTGAGTTTCTGAGGATTCTTGTTGCTCGAATTTTGGATACTTGGCCTCGACTTCAGACCATTGCATTTTTCCCAATGATAAGTCTCTGACGATTGCTGGCAATTCATCAAGCTGCAAATTGTAATAAATATTAGATTAGATGCCTCTTTATAAATTAAAAGGATTATTTTTATTAAGAGTATTTAAATATGAAATAATAATTTACCTTAATTCTGACTTGGCTCATGTTGTCTCTTTCTCTTAAAGTTGCACTGTGAGGCTCTTTCAACGAATCAAAGTCAATAGTGATACCAAATGGAATTGCGATCTCATCAGTTCTCGCATAACGACGTCCAATACTTCCTGATGAGTCGTCGACTTTGTGAGACACATCAACTTTAGTAAGCTCTTGGGCTGCAAAAGAACAAATAATGATAAATATTTTTTTCATTAAGAAAATGATTGGATAGAAATACAAATGAAAACTCAGGCTTACATAATTTTTTGACAAATGGGGCAAATTCAGCATTGCTACTGAGAGGCAAAACTGAGCACTTTAGAGGTGCGACAACTGGAGGTAAACTGAAATATTTCCTCTGCTCATCTCCTTCTCTGCCTTTGAAATTGTGCTCAAAAGCAGCATACATAATTCTTCCAATACCAAAAGAAGGTTCAATGACAGATGGAACAAATTCTTCAACATGAAGGGTTTTCTGATAACGTTTCACTGTTACCATATCCTTGGTAACCTTAGCTGTAAAGTCTTGCTCTTCAATATTGTACTCTCCATTTTCGCTAATTATTTTTTCAAATTCATTTAATTTATTTTCAGGAACTGCGGCCAGAGCATCCAATACTCGTTTAGCATCTTTTCTAAAAGCTTTTCCTATTAAACCACGATTTGGAACTACTTCAACAACGTCAATAGTTTTAGGTTGAGCTAATTTCTTTTCTGCAACCAACTTGACTCCTGTAGCTTTTGCATGTTGTGTTAAATCATAAGCTGACCTGTCAGCACATCCAACACATTCAACCCAGCCGTATGATGTTAAGCACTCTGCGTCCCAACAATCACATGCATAATGAGCCATTTCATTTCCCATATGCTGTCTAAACCTTAGTCTTTGAGGATCAATACCAACTGTTACGAGGAATTTCTGTATTCTAGCCATAAAATATCCTAATGTTTCATTAGCAACAAGTCCACTTTTTACAGCTTTACCAATGGTTTTTCGCTCAGCACTTTTACCATCCATTTGATTACATGCTGAATACAAAAGTAAAGTTGTGTCTGCAACTGATTCAAATTTAGAATGGCTTTTATCGCTAGGGTCACAGAAGTGTTCTATTTCAGCCATTGTGAATTCTCTAACTCTGATCAGACCAGATCTTGGAGAAATTTCATTCCTAAATGAATTACCAATTTGAGCAGCAGCAAAAGGTAATCTTTCTTGATTGAATTCAAGTAATCGTTTAAAGTTGACAAATATTCCTTGGGCAGTTTCTGGTCTCAAGAAACCTTTGATTAAACCTGTTGGGCCAATTTGAGTTCCGAACATTAAATTGAATTCAATAGGTTCAGTAAGATCATTACCAGTAATAGGTGATTTCATATTATACTTTTTAATAACATGACCCATTTCTTCTTTGTTCATGCCATCTAGTTTTATTATAATATCTTCACATTCTTTTTTGATATTTTCTGTTGCCTTTTTATCGGAACACAATTTTTCCAAATGTGCTTTAATCAAATGATCTAATCTGAAGCATTCACCATTTTTAACATCTTTAACCATAAGGTCTGCAAATCTTTCAACGTGTCCAGATGCTTTTAAAACAGGTTCTGGAGTAAGTATAGAACAATCAACTTCTAACATTTGTTCTTCTAAAACGAAAAACTTTCTCCAAGTACTCAAAAGATTAGCTTTGAAAGCACAACCCATTGGTCCAAAGTCATATTGGCCGGTGATACCTCCATAGATAGCAAATGACTGATCATAGAAAAATCTGCGCTTCAAAAGATCTTCCATTTTAGCTCTATCAAAATTAGCGGAGTCAGGAGTCAAAGAAAGTTCTTTATCTTCTAATAACTTTTTTCTGAGTTTCAGTTCAGCCACAGCTTTTTTGATATCGAGCTCTGGTGCTCCGCTTGCTTTTAGTTGTCGAACCAAATCTCCCTATAAATATAAAAGTAAACTTTTAATAATTGGTCATTTTTTAAAATGAAAAGATGTTATTGGCAAAGATAGAAAACGAAAAAATGATGCAACAGGTTAAAATCAATGCATGAAGAAAGTGCAATCCATATGTGGCACGAGTGCCCTTACCTGTTGTTTCACACTCGCGCGCAAAGGTGCCAATTCCTTTTCAATGTCGGGGTCCGTCATGTCGAGAAAAATTTTCAACTTGACGTTACGATGCTTCTTTGTACTGCCCCAAACAGGCTTGTTTTTTTCGGCAACTCTCGGTCCAACTGAGGCGGCGGCGTGCGTGCTGCTTAACCTCCAGAGCCAGTGTGTTGTTGCTGCAGCCCACTGACAGTGATGCTGCTGGAGAACTGTTGCGCGAATGCAGGCACCAATTGGCAATACGAGGCCGAGTGAAAGGCGCATTCGAAATTTGCTGATGTTTACAACACTTTCACCGTGGGCCGTTTGGTGGCGATTGTTTAGTATACGATGATTCGCGTAGACTGATTACACCAAACGCTTGTATAAGGAGATGCCTGCCTGAAGTGCGTCTGCTAGCAAGTTGATTTCCATGTGACGTAGAAAGTATACACTTGCAAGTACTCGGAGAGTCCCGCTTTAAAAGACGCAGACAATACGTCCATCGTTGTGGTTCGACTCCGAGATTCTAAATTTAAATTAAATAAATAAATTAAATAAATAAATTAATATTATTAATTAAATAAATAATTAATGATATATTTAATTTTACTTTAAAGTTTTAGATATATAAAAAAATAACTTACTTTAAATCTGGGTATTTCTCTTTCAGGAGAAGCTCGACCCTACTCTTGAGAGTCTTCGTGCCTTGGTTGCTATGCAGCCCTCTACCCGTAACAATAGTGCACTTGCGTTTGCAGTTCGTTGGGAAGGGCTCTCTAAGCAATTGGTTTTTTAGAAACTCCTTTACCATTTCGAGAGCCTCTTCCCAGTAAAGGTAGTGCAGGTCCACGGTGTTAGCTGGACTATCAGTTAAATTTAACTGAGCGCCCAGGACTAACCACCGTAGACATTTGTGCACGTACCGCAAACTTGGTGATCCACTTTTGCCACGGGTGAATAAATTTTGAACGTGTATTCTTAAAAGTTGTTCAAAATTTAATTTGTCTCGATGAGTCTGAAAAAACAAATTTATCGAGGTGCAATAATTATAAATTTTATTTGAAATTAAAGTTGTATGTAAAGGAAACAGCAACGGTTTTAAATAAACCGTGTTATTATTTCCTTTGCTCAGCACTCGATAAATTTCTCAAATACCAGATCCTTGCACTGTAACTTGATATCCCGATGTTAGAACATAATACACATATATGAATATCGCGTGAGAGGTTGAAGTCGAACTCTCAAATATCGATTTATTGTTAGAAAGTAAATTAAAAGTCTCTCAACGCGTGCTAAATGGCATATGAGTAAATCTCGTGAAATTTTTATTTTTAAAGCACACTCGTTGAATTTTTCTTGGGGACTTGCAATAACGATTCAAAAACCTGAAAAAAACTGTGCCCATCAAATTTGGGTGAGGGCCTTCGAGGATTTGAAAAAGTACATGTTAAAACTAAAATATCAATTTTTTGAGATTTAAAAAAAAGCACATAGCGTTATCTTTTTCAAAATATTAAAAACTTAAATGGGCAATATAAATCGCTGCATTTAAAGTAAAACTGTTGATGTGAATCGCAAAATTCGATTAAAATGGACTCAAAATCAACACAGGGCGCGGGCCAAGCCCATGTTTATATCGTATATATAACTTTTTTTTACAAAGCACGCACATCGAAAATAGACATACTACTCGATTCTGCTACTCACAAACTACTTATTCCTGCAATTTGGTGATAATTTATCGCGGGGCCTTTTAGAATATTGGGATTTGGTGGGGGCCCTTATAAAAATTTCCTATAGGATCTCGCGAAATTCCTACAGGAGTCCTATAGGATTCCAATAGGAATTTCGCGGGATCCTATTGGAAATTTTTATAAGGGGGGACACTTTTTATTAAAAAAATTTTATAATTCTTTTTTTTATAAATTTAAATTCTCATAACCTATTTTTTATAATACCTATTTTTATGATAACATTTATTTATAATACTTTTTTTCATAATAACATTAATTTATAAATATAAATTTACACGTATGCAACTTATGTACACCAAGCTCACCGACTTAACGTATATACAGTAATGCTGATCTGAACAAATTTGTGAACAGAATTAAATATCATAACATCTTCGACAGGCAACAATGTAATGGTTGTAATAAATTAGATGGTCGAGTTGATAAAATCCCAAGGTTCCAGTTGTCATTTATCCTTAGAAAGTTTTCTGTATTATAAAAATGGTGGAACTATAAGAAAACGAGCGTACTGGCTTTGTAAAAAATCCACTCAGTTTTGTACCCGAGCTGTGACTATCGCCCTGTTCTTTTCATTTCTGCAATAAAAATTAGAGGTCACCGTACAAAAAATCAATTTTGGTTCGCTGTAGCTAAGAAGTAATGTTCAAGGTCAAATCTGAGGTCAGTGTCGGATTTTTTCGTCGAAAAATATCATGAATGTAGGGTTTTTGATTTTTTTAAACAAACAAGTCTGTTAGTCTGCCAATGACTAAAATTGAAGGAAATGGAATATTTTTCATAATTTAGGGATTTTGAGGTTATGAATATATCGTCGCCCCAGCGCAGGAAGGTATCTATTTCGAATCTGTAGCAAGAAGGATACTTACTCGCGCGCAGAGGCAAGAAGGTATCTAACTTGAGCGCAGCGGCAAAAAGGTATGTAACTCGAACGTAGAAGCAAAATCATAAAATTTTGTTTTGTATTAAAGTAAAAAAGAGAAAAAACAATTAAGCTAGTGTAACAATTTTCATCCATTTGTAATGCGAGCAAACAAATCAATCTCACCGCGATTTCGACTCAATTTGCCACTAATGGAGAACTTTGTATGTTCTGAGAGGAAAGTAGAAGTTATTGGCTCTACATGTCGTCGATGTATAAGTCGACGATTTGGGTGCGAGCCGTATGTGCGTGTATGTGATGGGGGCAGCAGTGGACAAGGCAACCGCGTGAGGCACTTCGCACAACTCTCTCTCCCCCTTCCATGCGTGTACGTGCGAGCGAGCCTCACTCACAAGTGACCCTTGCTGCTGAGCAGAGCTCGACAAGAGATTCACTATTTTTCTTATTCATTAAAGTTACATTTTTGTATTCTCTCTTTATTTCTCGTTTAATAGAGTTTCGACATTTTGTCATTAGTTTTATTTCTTGTTCTGTGTGTAAGAGGTGCAGTGTGCACAGTGGTGTAAAATAAAGTTGCCACAGTTCAAAGTCATGAACTCGAGTGTAATCATTTGAAACTCCCTGTCCTTATCACGCCGATATCACGTCCAATTCCAACATGACATAACTTTGAATTAAATGTTGAATGTTGAAACAAAAGTATATAATTTATAGCTGCGTTGTCAACCTACATTAAGCGCGTCAAAACTTTCTTGCCCCTTCGTTTGAATAAGCTACTTTTTTGCTCTACGCTCGAGTTAGATACTTTTTTGCTGCTGCGCGCGAGTAAGTATCCTTCTTGCTACAGAATTGAAATAGATACGTTTCTGAGCTGGGGCGACGATATAATATAATGACTAATAAATCTAGTCTCTGGGCTAAAATTTTTTGTGGGTCTTTGTTATAAATAGTAGAACGATATTCAAAGAAAATCAAATTAAACTTACCAAATTTGATTGGGGCAGCTTACAGAAGGCATTAAAAATATCTTCCGTCTCCTTCCTCGATAATCTATACATTTTTTCCTCGTCATCATCGAGGAAGTTTTCGGCGTCGAACTCCTCCAAATAATTAATGAAATTTAACCTCACATTTTTTGACGATTTTAAAAAAATCGAAAAAAAATTCTTCCGGAAACTGCCGTCACTGCTCTTCCGTTGACCTCTCAATTTAATCAACATTTTAGTTCTGAAAAAATAAAGAATAAAATTAGAAACTTTTAATAGTATTTAATAGTAATAGTATGTATTGATAATAAAACGCTGCCACAAGCATAACTTGGCATTTTGGATTACAAAACCTTATAATAAAACTGAAAACCTAAATCAAAAATTTCGACCCTGTTCTCCGGAAAAACTATTGAATAAAATGGGATGAAACTTGGTACATTTGTTCACAGCATCCATACGGAGGGTTCCACAGAGCCGTTTCCGAAAATTGCGAAAAACTTTTTTAATTCTTAACGACAATAAGTAAATAAATGAATAATCCTGATACTAATTTACATGGTTAGAAAGGGCTTGAAAAGATCATTCAAATAGTATAGTTTCAAACCCTTTATAGGACGTTTTTGGATCAGAGTGTTATGTAAACGTACCTAAACAATTTCGCTCAAAATTCGACAGTAAAGCTGTCTTTGGAAAATTTATAGGCTACGTCAGTAAACTTCATGTCTTTAGAAACGCCTGAAACTTTTTTATTTCAATCTTTGATAAGAATGCACTGTTCAAATCTTAGATTGATCTACAATCTAGTTTTCGAGAAAAAAAATAAAAAACGACGTCTTATGGGGAAAGTTACAACAATGTCACAAAAAAAGCATTATGCAAACGAATTAGACTTAAGAAATGAAAAAAAAACTATTTTTTAGAAGGCCAAAAAGGTATTGATCATTTTGAAAAAAAAACGACTCGTTTTACAACACCGAATGCTCAATAAACAAGTCTAAAAACGTGAGATTCTGAGCCACGCGAGCCGAAATGTCGCGTTTTTACACGTTCATCGCTGTATTTCAGCTAGTAAAAATAAAATGTACTCTCTGGAAAATATGTATTTCGATGGGAAATTTCCTCAGCTTTCGATTGAGAATACTTTGAAAAATCTTAAAAATGCGTTTTTTGAGATATTTAATGTTAAAAGTTTATTTTTACAATTTTCCGTGGACAATGGAAAATTTTTGAAAATCTGACTTCACCATCGGAAAGCTGAAGAAATTTCCAATCGAAATCATATGTCACATATTTTTTTTAAGTGCGTTTAGGGGGTTTTTCAGCGAGATAGAAGTTAAGCAATTTCGCCTATAAGTGCCGTGCGGCCGCTGCATGCTGTTTTGCTAATAATATTTTGTTCCCATGAGTTGGTATCACTCCTTCGTGCCCGTGTATAAGCATAGGCGACCCCCTCGCCCCGCCTGTCCCTTGAAAGTGCTATCGAACCTCCTTAAAAGTATATTTTTACATGTACTACATGTAGGTATTTTTTTCATTTCAATTTGGTTGGGGGCAATTTTGATCATCTTTTACCCGTCTAGGCTCATTTTAAATTTTCAAGAATCCATGTGGTATACGGTATGTAATATCTGGAAATGCGATAACTACAATTGCATTAAATCCAGTTACAATTTTATCTGTGACTGTTTTGAATTCTAATAAAGCCAAAAAATTTAAGTTGATTTCAAGCCAATTAAATCTAATAGTGCTTTCACAGTGGGCATGTACGAACGTTTTATAACAGAACTACACGA